CTTTGTTCCATATAATTTGAAAATTAACGAAGCATGAGCAATTATGACATCACCCCTGAATCACACATTTAAGGTCTCCAATTCTCTACCACTGAGCCAGAAGGACTCAATGGTGAAGGAGGTCTATAATGAGGTTCATATGACACACATCCTGCATACTGCTGGATTAGCAATGTCCATAGCGTCATGTTTGTAAACAGAATAGGAAAGATGGTAAGTTTTGAGCTCAGTAAGAAATAGTGAAAGATATTTTTCATCTTGTCACAAGTGTGGGACAGAAAAAAATAGAGTCCCCATGAAGACTAAGAATTCCAGAATTCCAGTTCCTCGTGAGGACTTAGAATTTTGTCTTTGTCCCATGCTTGTGACAAGACAAAAAATATCTTTCACTATTTCTTACCAAGCTTTAAAACATAATACCATCTTTTTTTATTCTATTTACAAGGGTGGTTTAAGTTCTTTAAACCAGCCAATGAACATAGTGAAACAAACCAATCAACCAAAACAGAAAACCAATTCAAAACTTGGAATTATAACCAACCTGAAATATTCAAGGTGCTATTGTTTCTGTAATTTTTTTAAAGTGTAACAGTACTCACATTTCAATTACTTTATTCCAATTTATTGTGTATCCTGATAGCTCAAAGCTCTCAATATTTACAACATGAATATTTCCCTTTTCTGTACCAACATACAGCCACTTTGAAGAAAATGGAAGGTGCATGCACGTTAATCTGAACATGGAAGAAACAACAAAATTAGCAACTGTTCTGAAATCACAACACAGGACATTTTGCACTTCAAGAACATTGTGGAAGGGTTACACTCTATCTAAACTTAGGCATGACGCTACAAGATTCCCATGTTTAACATTCAGGTTTAATTCTTTAACTCCCATGAGTGACCAAGAAAAAATTTCTCATAACAGTGTCAATACAATATCATGCAGACAAGTGATAACAATAAAGAAAAATATCAATTCAGGACTAGTTGATACAATACCACATTCTCAAGACAAACATCATAGGAATTTTGTGGAAGAGAGTAAGGAGAGTTAATGATAAGATCTTGGAAGTTAAGGGTTAAACAATTTAACATATAGGGGGTCATTTTACATACCATGACAACAGGTGCTTTCCACATCTCAAAATTACCTCCTTTTCCTCAAAATTCTGGCTAAATACATAATACATACCCCATTCTCTTCACATTTGTGGATGTACATGATTGTACAATGTATGCAAGCTTACTAATTCACCAGCAGATCCAAAAGTGCAAAGGGACCCTAAGTGTCCATGCTTGGTACTTAGGCCCAACCCTTGATCAAACTCTTGCCTCTTTGAGGCTATCATTACACAAGCATGTATGAGGTACATGATAAATTTTGACTACCATCTTTTCATGCAAAGGAAAACCAAGGGCCCATATTCTCCCTCTGTTCTACCATGCAAGCATAGATTTATTACAGAAATTGAAACTGTCTTTAACACAAGTTTGTAAACTTACTTCTCACGATTAAACCGCAAGGATTGCACAAGGGCAGGTTGGGCTTGTCGCAAATTCCACAAGTGAATGTAGTCATCTTCACAAAGACTTATCAAAGCTCCCTTGGAAAAAAAGAATATTAAGTCAAATACAAAAACAAAAAAAGTTCGTAATTAAATTAGATCTAGACAGTACAAATATATTGACTCAAATTTGGGATCCACATAGATTCCCATGGTGATGTTCATAGTTAAATCACCCATTCCACTCTCCTTACTATCTGCCATGTACATTTTTTATGTTGTTAGTTCAGAGAATTTGATATTGAATCAACTAGTAACCTCCTAATTGATATTTAACTTCATTCTCATTACTATTCTGCTTGATCTAAAGGGAAAATTCTGTCTTGGTCACTCATGGAAGTTATAGGGATAAAAATTAACATTTAGGAGAGGTGAGTGAAAAATGTAACTTCTCCCAACAATTTAATTACATAGTTAGGACAACAGATAGTTTGTATAGGTGAAAATTGGTGTTAATAAGTGCAAGTAATAAGGGCAAGTGCAATTTGAAGTCTTTAAAAGATTTACAAGTGCTTAATTACACAAGAAATCATGTTATTATTTGTTATCAATTTAAATGAAAAATGCATCACAGAGAGTCAAGACAAATGAAATTTTAGCAAATGTGCTAAAATTGAATCAATCTTGACTTTATTTGCACTGGTGTTAAAACTGCACTCATGTTACCTAAAAATGCATTTTTTTTTTTAGCCAATAAGATGCGTGAAATTTTTTTCATGCATATTAATGGAAATAAACAAACTTTCCTGTTAATTATTTTTAAGAGTGTAAGGATGAAATTCAATGTGCAGGACATTAGTATACAAGATGAAAAAGGACTGTCATCCTAACTGAACCAAAATTCACTGCAAAATTTACTAAACTTGCTTAAAATGCAGAGCAGTAACGCATGCATGATGATACCTTTGTGTCTGAGACACATTATTTTAGATAATTATCTAAAGAATGTATGCAAGAGCATGATACTTTTAGGATAAAACGACAGTGTGTCATCGACAAATAAAGAAGAACAAGTATTTATCACCTCATTTATGAGGAATATAAGTTCTCTGACAGCGGCACTACTGTCATGTTGAACGTGGCATTCCACACCAGCTCGTCCCAATCTAATTCAGAAACAGTCAAGGACTAGCGATGAGTCTTTGGCCTCAGTTTTGGTAGTGTGTCTGTTGACTAGACCATAAAGTAGGAGACAAGCAACGTAACAAAAATAAATGAGAAACGTTCCAAAACTATAATGCAAGGCGCGAATCGATTCTTTGCCCTAATATTTAATCGGTGCATGGGATGAACAAGTTTAGCCTGAAAACATGGTCTATGCTTGATGAAAGAAAATTATCACACATAAGCATTGAGAAATCTATGCCTTGCCTCAGTTTAAAGCTACCAAGAAAAAATAATCATGAACTATATCACGACGTGCAGCATTCACAATGGCAACACAGATGAAAGCTTATATCCGGCTAGTAATTGTCGCAGAAGTCGACAACGTAACATCTTTTGAATATAAATAGAAACAAATAAACCAAAAAACAAACTCGTAAACTTGTTCTTTAAACATTGATTATACATGTAAACATTTGTAGTCTGGATAAGAAAAAGAGAAAACACACTTAGTAAACGTGCTATTTATTACAGAGATGTACAAAGCCTTAAACCTCACAAGTTCAACTGAAGCGACGTACGTCAGCAAATTAATTAAGTCAAGCTAGCAAGCGTCCTGCAGATAAATTACAGTATATAAGGATACATGCGAAGTGAGCCATCGAAAGCTCCAAGAGCGAGAATACTCTGAACAGGATCGTATGCAATACAAGTTGGTTGATACGGAAAGCCATAACGAAAAGTCTGCAAAAATAAAAAATCATACACAAAGATGTGTTAAATTTGTTGAACTCTGCGTTCGTGCTCGACTGCTTATTAACAAACTATCGTGATCAGTAATACCGGTACAAACCTTTGTAAAAACAAAGTCCTCGGCCTTCAAACGATCTGTTATAACAGGCTCTTCCTTGGCACTGATGCTACCCATTCTCCCCCCATGCCCAGACCGAACTACTTTAGTTAATCTTTTCATGAATGTCCTTTTCCCGTCAGCCATCCATTTTCATTAATAGTTTCTTGTAATCCACTGGAATAACATACACAACTGACGCAAACGCTTCTGGGAGATATGTAAATACAGAACCCGGATGGCAATAGAGAAGTGGGGACCGCAAGGCGTACACAAGTTTTATTGCTTTAGGCAGAATGCTCGTTTCTTACTTTTTCCGTTTTCTTCCACCCTATTTGAAAGGAATGACGTAAATATAAAAAGAGTTATGTGTGTGTGTGTGTGTATATATATATATATATATGTATGTATGTATGTATGTATGTACTCTTTCATCCCGAGAAGCCAGTTTCGTAATTAACTCACTCTTCAGGGGATTTTAATGACAAGAATATTCGTAACCATCGTTGATACACTGTAAAATTTGCATAACTGGCGTGGCTGTAAATTCAGATGTTCTGTTCAGCTATCACGTAGCAACGCTTCATTAATTTTTCTTTAACACAGAGGTTGCATTTTTTACTTGCGCTGCTGTAGGGTGTAAGGATGTACCATGATATTAAGTGGTCAATGTTACTGTCTTTAGAGTACAGATTTGTTTTCATGGCACATCCTTTCATCAAGCCAATCTCAATACATATCGCGCTCTACTTCTATGAAGCGAGCACTGTACTACGGAAAAATCGAAACACGGACTTCCTATATATACATATATACAAATAAATAAATTTTAGTAGTCAAATTAGTCTTCAGTTGGAGCGATTTTTATAGTCTCTCAAAAACAACAATAATTCAGGGTTTCAAGCTTGACCTTCAATAAAATATGGTCATCGGAAATAAAAATTTGAGGCCAAAAAAAGAAATAATTAATGCAATATTCCACGTGAGCGCTGACCACAATGTTTTTCGTTGGATTACGCAGTAAGGCTAACTTTTATGGAGATTTAAGCGACATATCAAGACCACCAGGATGAAAAAGGCACATTATTATCGAAGAAAAACGACGGGGTATGAGTAACATTTCATTAAAATGCTAGGCCCACTTTTACTCCAGACCATAAAAATAAGTTGCGGAAAAAATTGAGAGTCACAGGTCATTAATTTAAGTTTTTCCGCATTCAAGAATTGCGTAAGTTATTTGACGTGGAGCTCAAGTAGTAACACGGTTCCGCGCGAAAAGTTTGCCGACCAGCCAAAACCTAATTTGTTTAGTCTTAACGCGGTTTGAAGGGTCAGTCCTATTTAGGATAGCGTTCAAAACCGTCATGAAGGCGAACAAATCTGTTTTGAACTTTGCCCATTTCTTAAAAGGTACTAGTGCAATTTTTAAAACCCTTTAATATCCAGAAGTGATAAACCAGTAAGTTCTCCCTATAATAATCCAGACCTTTTCCAGTAGAGGTAATTATAATACTTAGACTTGTCTGTTTAGCTACTAGCGGGGAGAGTTAACATCGGATCTTGAGAGTTAAAGGGTTAAGGTGGCTGATCATTGTATTTAAGTGCGCCGTGTCTAGTTGGTTGAAAGCAAGCACTACCATTCATTTGTTGAATCGCTTTCTTGAAAGGGGGGGGGGGGGGGGTTTGAAATATAAGCCGTTTCTTGGGTAGCGCAACTGATTTGAAATAAAGTTAAAAAGTATTTTTGTCATTCAGTGATATAGAGCTGGCCTTCTACACTTCATGGCAACTTCATGTACCAACAGAAGTGAAATTAGTGTACGACTGCTGAATGATGTTTAAGTACTGTTGTCGGAGACTTGTAAACTGCCTTTTGAATGAAAGGGAGGTTGTAAGGGAAATCGAGTGTCACTGGTTAATCATATCGGGAAATAATGTGATGTGGGTAAGAAGCGATGCCACTCAATCTTTCACCGAAGGTTTCTCAAAAATTGGTTAAAAAAAGCGTCAGGTAATTCTCACAAAAAGCGAGTGAAAGACTTAATTTCGATAAAAAAAAATTATACAAGTATTCCTGGAGGTAAATCAGTTTAGTGACGGAGTAGAAAGAAAACTAAAAGGGAATTTCGGTCAACGTTCTCAAATTTCCCCTAGACATCGAATTCGTTCGCGAGTATTTTAAAATGACAGCGTTGTACAGGCCACCCATGACTGGTTGTTTAACTCATCTGAAATGGGCAAAGAAAAATCAAACTGATACAGGAAAGTGTTTTGATACCAAAGTACGATTACTAATTTCGTTGGTGTTGAAACATGTGAATGAACCACTACTATACAGAGGCACTGATGTGCTGCAACAATTTGAAAGCTGCAAAAACGAATTGAAATATCCGGCGCGCTGCAGCTCCGAACAAAGAAATTTGAAAGCTCATAGTTGTCTCGTTTTCACAACATGTGGCTTTGTAGCTCAGTTGGTAGTAGCGCCTGAAAAATATCTGGAAGCCCGTCGAAGCCTGAATTTTTTCATGCTTCTTTTGTGCAATTGCTTAAATAGTAGTCCTCTTGAGGGATTCATTCTTTGCTTGCCTTGTTTGCTATTTAAATAAAAATTAAAACATGAGAATCTTTTAAAGATAATTTAGTTATTATATGAAACCAAATCATGAATGCGCGCTTGTGGTGAAAGGAGTTCCAACATAAGGGTTTCTGAACTCTTTCCATCTGTATCTCTAAGGAGCTAAATTGACAGAATGCAGACCAGGCCAATCCCTAGTTTCTTCCTTATTTCATACTGGCTTGTTTCCAGTTACATGTAAGCGTTCCCACATGCACCATCCATTACTATGTCCATATATGCACTGCAAGTTTTAAGATGGTCTAGTCGGGGGACTTCTAAGTCACTCAAAGGTCAAGATGACCATGTCACGCCCGCAATGGCTCCAGAAACTGTGGCGATGCAGCAACAGTACCGTTCAGTAAATACTGTTGATTGTTCTTATCCACATCTTCTAGGACATATTTATAGTTCATCATCAGTCCAAAGGAATTATCCATTCCTCGTGCGCTCACATCCGCCAACCAGTTTAACCTCCACATCCACGCACCATTCCTGATGTGAAAATTACCTGACGGCGAAGAGACGACGAACACATTTCAGTTAAACTCATTTTGATACATAGCGCCTCATTTCTGCGCGTAACTTCACGCGCGAGGAGCACATTGCCAGCCTAGCGTCAGTACAATCTCTTTCACCTTGACATCAATATGCATATTCTCCATACCTCGGTAAGATGCTGGTTACTCTCAGGGGTTTTATGGTTAAATTGTCATTTTCGGCGAGAAATCGAGAAAACCCGGCAGTGATCAACCTTAAAGGTCAGAGATACATTGCAATAGTAAAAATTCTGCCATTTGAATTTGCTGATATCTCTTGAATCACTTACCAACTGGATCCATGACAAATCCTCGCCTTTTCTCTTTGTATAGATACCTGGAAAGATCAGAAATGGAGAAAAGTTTGATACATAACTATGTTAGAGGGCTATTCGAATGTACACGGGTACTTTCATGACAAATCCTCGCCTTTTCTCTTTGTATAAATACCTGGAAAGATCAGAAATGGAGAAAAGTTTGATACGTAACTGTGTTAGAGGGTTCTTCGAATGTACACGGGTACTTTTTAGAGGGAGGAAGAGAGAGAAGCTTGGGAACGAGAATGGAGCGCCCGAAGACGCAAGAGACCAAATAAGGATTGGTCCAAGCTTAACCCTTTACACCCTAACATCAGTATGCATATTCTCCATACTGTTCTCTGTACATTTCCTATGGTGCTGACAAGGAGAATTAGCTTAACAATCCAGAGCTTCTGTAATTGTTGATCATTTCTATTATTCTCATAACCCTAATGTTTGATTCAGGGGAGATATTGTAAGGAGAAATTAGATGCTAGTCACCCTTGGGGATCCAAGAGTTAACATCTGGGCCGAGTTGTTCAAAGCTGGGTTGAGATAACTCAGGATTAGTGTGAAATCTGTTTTCAGATCTGTGAGCTTTTAAAGAATATCCATTTTAATTCCACTGTTCTACAATTTTATGATTTCATGCTCTAAAAACAATTTGGAAAATAATCCCAAAACGGCTTTTGATCAGAGAAATGTAGAAACCTGGATTAAAATTTAACCCTGGGTTAGCGATAACCGGCTTTCGAACAATTGGGCCCTGATTGGTTGAAAGGGTGGCGCGATTTTTCTGGACCAATCACACAGCGCGTTGAGGCAAAATTCATCCAACCACGGACAACTTTCAATGACACCCAATTAAAATTTCATCGACATCTCCCAACTGAGTAATCACCGGTTGGTAACTGATAACGTAGGCGATAAACAAGCCCATGTCCTCAAGTAACCTTCCTCTTTGTTCCATCTTCCGATTACCATAATCCCTAAATATCCCACAATTTAAAAATAATAACGGTACGTACTTGGTACAGAGGCGTACTAATGGTTTCCTTAGACAGTCAGCTATACTTGGGTTAAGGTGCCAATCGCTGGTTTCTAAAAGGTTCTGACAATAGACAAACAATGCATTTTTCAGAGACAGTTGATTATCCGTTGCTTAAAGCTACTTTAACTTTCCAAAATGCCTAAGGACAATGGGCTGCAAAACTCTCTTCCGTCATTGCCAGATTACGATTTGCATACCTTCTAGCATAGAAATATTAGAAAGACTGAATTCGAAATGTTAAGACGCGAGCTAAGAAAACTACGTCGAATATATCCCGTCGAAGCTTGCCGAAACATATTTCTTCTCTTTAAACTGGTGCTTTTTACGAAGTGCTATGGTACAACTAAAAACAATATCTCTCGTGGGAAACTGATAACAATAATAATAGCAATAATAGTAATATTAACAATTTTATTAGGCATTTTAATACCAGTAGGAAAAATAGTAACACTTGGATTCTTGCATTCTGGGCCATTTTACATTCAGTCGCTAACCAAAACAAGAAAGACAAACTTTTCAAATTGATGCGTCATACTTAAACAGATGTGTTTTTCCCTTGCGCACCTCTCTGCAAATCAATCGCTTGATAATTGCCATCGAAGCACCTGCTTAGCAGGCTACACGATGAATAGAATGAGAAGAAATCAAAATTTAACTATGCTTGGCGCTGAAGCCATCTAAATAACGGAATACACCAACCTTAAACAAGGAGAGCGAAGACAATTCCGAATTGGAGTGACTGCCTTGGATAATTTCCTGTTCATCTTCCAAAAGTAGCGTTTGGGGAACGTCATTTGCTGGCAAGTAAAACGATAAAAATCAACAATCTCGATGAATACATCTGAACCTACTGTAATTATGAACCCATTCGCCATCGAATTCTCTGTAGCTAAGATGGTAGCTTAGATGGTAGCTTAGTTGATAGCGCACCCTGCGGATAGGCTACGTTTTCGCGGGAAACTGAACAAAAGCTTGTGTCACAGCAGCAATAAAATCCTAATCAACTGGGACTTACTGCTTTCAATTGGTCAACTGAGATTCAAACTTTTACTTGTCTTCATTGCCTTCTGTAAGGAAGAGAAATTCATTCAGAGAAAAGGCATTTAACTAATTTCTTCCTTCATTTCTCTTCCTAGTTGGGCATATTTCCTCCCTCCCATTAAACTGGTATTTCCAAAGTAATGTTTCTTACTCTGCTGTTCCAGGGCGTGCGATAGCTGCAGCTTTAGCCACTGTTTGAAGCCAGGGATAGGGGACAGTGTCGAGTATTGCGTGATGTTTGGAAACTCGTGCCGTAATTCTTCCACGACGTGCTTAATCAGAAAATTGCCCAGATCCACGCCACTAAGTCCTACAAAAAGGGAAGAGAAATTATCAGTACTCATCCAAACCGTTTTCCAGTTGTTCACTAGTTGAATCTCCTTACGCATATTTGTCCATCACAGATAACACTTCCTAACCAACACCTCCGCTGTATTTAAAACAAAGTTTTTCCTTACAAAGCCAGGCGCTCTTGTCAACAACGCTAGATATAAGAATTATAATAAAATTCTTCGCCCATCTGAAAGTCATGACAAGCGTATCAATGTGGCATAGTATAAATGGAGAGGCAGAGAAACTCGGGACGAGAGAGACCTTTGGCCGGATTATAAGGCTATGTTCTTGAGCATGAGCTTGACTATCATACGACCTCGCTCCACTCAAGAATACAAGTCGGTACAAACGAACAAGAAAACCCAACGAAAAGCAGGGGAGTAGACTGGGACCGACTGGCATCCTATCCACGGGGAACAGTAATACTTCTAGTTGCTTCATGCTACGTAAACCAGGCGAGGCTTGTGCAGCTACGCCATAAGCCACCTGGCTCGATTGCAGACTTACAATAACCTTCCTTCCTTTCAATCTAAATGACAGCGCAAGGCTGTGTTTCCAGCCTTTTTTGGACTTGTAGCCATTTAAATTCAGTTATTAATTATTGAAAAAAAAACCCTAGCCTACCCACATGCATCCATTTCTTCTTTGAAGGTGGGAGGTGGAAGGAATTGATTACATATAGACCAGAGTTCTCCTTAACCCATGCAGAAAATAAAAGTATCAATGTTTCTGGGACACCTATCCTTCATCGCCTCAAACACACCTTTTTGTGTCGAAGTGATAGAATAAAACACTGCTGCGGTTCTTTTCTCTAATTCATATTCACACGCGTCTCGATCCACCTCCGGTTCACTCAAGATAACCTGGATTGAAAGAGAGACTGCAGTAAAACACTGACTAAGGAACAGAAATCAGTTGATGGTAACGCCTTGACCATAATCAAAATAATTTGGGGTTTTCAAGACTGAAGTACCCTTAAGAATGAAAAGCTTCAGTCCCAGTCAGGTAGCTACATACAGAATCCTTTTGTATTTTTGTGAACAAAATTCAAACCTTTTTCCAGACTTTTTCTGAATGACAACCCACCTGTATATTATCAGCAATTTCATATTCCAGTGCAGTGTGTAACACTACCACAGGTTCACCAGGCATGGAGCGATGTGTGTAAATATAACATCTCCTGTCAGGAGCAAGTCGCCGCTTCAGGTCTTCCCAGCCAGACATTGAATGCACTGCCTCATAACGCAATACCTGAGTTACAGAAAGCATAACATAGTTACCTCATCACCATATATCCCGAACAACCAGGAATATTACAGTTTCTTTTCAATACAAATTTCAGGATCAGTCTTTTTGTAATTTACAGGGACACTGAGACCCTGCTCAAAACAATGAATCCCGACCTATCATACGTCAAGCTTAAGATAGAACAACATAGGCAATTTACCCCAACCAAGAAATGAAACCTCTCACTCAAGGTAAGGTTGAAATTCTACCCTAGGGGACAATTTCCCCTTTACCACATTTACAGGATTGTCAAAAAAGCCAGCTACCGGCGCAATTCACCGTCCACCCTGAAAAACACACCAGCTATTCTAATTATTTTTGGTTCAATTGTCAGCATAGAAGCAGGGCTAAAAATTACGGTACGGTCTAATACGGCGGTACGGTCGCCGGTCACAATGACCGGCAAAACAAAGTTTACCTCGGTCATTTCTGTAGCGCTTCTTCGAGCTTCTAGTTCGAAGTGCACTTTTTTCTATCTTCTGTTTCATTCTCCTCAGACAATATATCGTTGAAAGATGGATTACACACTCTAGTCTTACTTTTTCCGTTCATTTCGACTGATTAAGGAAATGTTTGACAACCTTTTTTGGAGATGAACTTGTCACCGGCTTTTGTCAACCCCGCCCCATAATATGTTAACGAAACTTTTTTTTCTGAATCATTCTACCGACTCTAATCGCGTCATTACTGTGCGGCCTAAGTGTCAAGCGGTATGGAAAGGCCTGCCCGCTGAGTATTCACGCCGAACTTAATTCAGTCTACCTGGAACTGAATCGTTTCAAACGCGTCGGATCTAATTCCTGAGTTCGGCAGAGTAATGGCGCGACACTTCGTACCGCCTTTTTGAGTCAACATATCGTTAGGGCATAGCATTTGAAATAAAAATAAACTTGTGAGGAAATTAAAAACTGTTCTATCGTAGCCTCTCGTTTAGTTTTTATTGCGTTGTGTTGTTGTTGCTGTTTGTTGTTGTTGTTCAGCTTCCTTTTTTTCGTTTGACTTTCAGTCATTTAATGTGACTGTTCAACGTGACTGCCGAATCGAAACTTTGACCGGTCAAACCCCAATCAGGCCGGACATTGTCTGGTCACCGGCCGTTATTTTTACCCCTGGGAAGCATGATATTGTGTCACCTACTCATGGATTCACATGGGTTTATACGGGGAGATTCAAAGCTCGACCTCGTATGAAATCATTCAAATTTTTGCGAAAGAATGATGAGGTGAGATCTTAGAAACAGAGATACTCCTGTTGACTTGGTAATTATGTTAAAGGTATGAATTACGTGCTGCTTGCCAATAAACACCTTTTCTAGTATACTACCAGGTGATTCCCAGGTGACCTGTCTGAGATCCAGTAATCCAACAGCAAACCACTGAGCCAAGAGATTCTTGATGGATGAACTAAGAGCCTGGAGTTCCTGTCTGGCAAGTCGATCCTTCTCTTCATTCAGCCCTTCCTTGCAAGAAATTTATATCAAATACTTATGTCTACTTCTTTGCACATGTAAAATACCACAGTCAGAGTATTTTAACACACTACTATGCAAATAAAGGGCACTAACAAAATCAACATAATATTTTTAATGGAAACTGGCCATTTCCCATTCTGAAGACAGCTCTTACTCACCAACAAGTCACCTCTCATGTCAACAATGTCCTTCACACCTCCTGGTAGCTTACTGATCTGGGACAGTAATTGGGTATGAGCTGGTTCGAGAGCTTGCCGCAACTTTTCCTCTGCTTTTAAAATGGCTGGAAGTCCATTTTCCTATGAATAAAACATGAAAAATGGCAATTAGTAAAATTTAAAATTTGCCTGGAGGCAAAGGTTCTTCAGACTAACCAGTTATCTAGCCCTTTCACTTCAAGGATCTCCTTACTTCTGGCCCTTTCTTTTAATGTCCAGTCCAATAATTATTTTTTGACAAATCAAACAACAGCTCCAAGTTATAACTAGTTTTTAATTACAATCCTTTCTAATTGACCATAAACTGGTACTGTATGGACAATTAGTTTGTAGGTTACTAAAGAGAGGGACTGGCTTCAGACCAATTATTAATCCTGTTCAAAAGTAGAGATATAGCCAAGGTTCATCTATAGAAATATATCTGTCAATAGCAGGGTGGTTTGTCCAACTATTTAATACAAGAGGGATAAAAATGGCTCAACATTGCTATTGGAAAAAAATTGTTATTCGTTTCTTTAAAACTGTTCCAGATGTTGTCCTTTCATATCTCTAGGAAATATAAAGAAATATACCGTAATTTCCGGTCGTTTACCCGCGGGTAATCTGTTGATTTTGCATTTAACGCGCGCCACTGCGGGTAATAGGGAGGTGCGGGTTATGTGACAATTTTAAAATCCAGTGGTAGTTGAATTGAAAAAAAATATCACCAACACGCGTTTCCACCTCTCAAGTAAATTTTATTGTGTTAATAGTGCCGCAAAGCGGCACGAAAACATGATGCCGACTGGAGTTAATTCACGCATAACTAGTTGCGCGACGAACAAATTATTATCGGCACGCGTGAAAACAAAACCTTGATGTTGACAAAAATTATCCAAAGATATCCGGCGCATCAGTAACAAATTTCCATTAAACACTAGCTTGAGCTAAAGAGAATTTTCCCGTTTTAAGGGACTTGTTAGGCCCAATAGAACGGGAGATATCGATTTTTTCAGAAATCGCCGACAGTACTTTATAATTCAAGTTTTAATACTTACCCAGCTTTTTTTCAACAAATCAACATGGCGCTGAACGATCGCTCGCACAAAATGTGGCCACAAATTTGCATTCTGTCAAATATGAAACGTTGAGATTTGGGCATGTGCCGCTAGTGTTTTTACTGTATAATCTTATCAATAAAGTACATGCTAATATTGACACAGAATTGTGCACGCGTCCGAATTTCTTTGACCTTTAAACTCGACAAAGACGCTTTCAAGTTTTCGAAAGTTGGATCAGACAACTTTTAAAAGACTGAAATGTATCACCTTAATGTCACGTTTTCGCCACCAAAAAGTTGAATAACAACGTGCGGGTTATCCACCAGTGCGGGTTATCTGTTGACTTTTTTTTCGCCGCACGCAATAATCGGCCGGTGCGGGTAATCGGCCGTGCGGGTAAACGACCGGAAATTACGGTAATCCACTTAAATTCTGACCACTCATGGCAGTTGCACAAATACCTCACACCATTAGTGCTGAAAACCTGGGTTTAAATTGCATTAAAACATATTGTAGTCTACCTGAGAGTTTGCCAAGCTGTTAGCGACTTGTACAACATCCTTGTGGTCTACACCAAGATCTCGTTCCAGAACCAAAAAAAATGCCAATTTCTCAGCCTTTCAAAAGAAAAAGGTTCTCATCATTTAACTAATGAAAAAAAATCTCTGCTAATTAAAGGGTATAATTCCTACACAGCCAAGCTAGTTCACCTTGGAGTTAACAATTTGTAAAGCTGATAAAATAACATGCTTCTTTCTGTATTTTCAAGCAAAAGAATTTCTCAGCTTATGAGTAAATTTAAATCATCGGTTACATCACTAACTCACCTTTGTTGACAATCCACTGTAGAAGTGTTTGATTTCTTTGGCAACAGCCTACATTTCAATTGAATAAAAAAAAACCTTAAACCCTTCTGCCAATAGCATATCGCAGCATAGTGGAATTGCAGCTCTATATGTCCATCTATGCCTTAGGAAAAGTTCTGGTAAAGCTAAAAATGAGAGTTGAGATCTAAATCATTGCAACATTTCAATTTTTTGCAACATCATGATAGGAAGAATAATTCTGAAATTGTTCCCTCCCCCTCCCCAACCTGAAAAGATGACAGGAGGACTGGGGGTGGGGATATGCCAGGATGAACTAACATCCTTTCCAGGGGAGAGTAACAATAGTCCTGGCTCTGGCCTTAATAAGCCAGCTTGAACAGGCAGCATGCCTTCACAAGGCTTCATATGCTAGCTGAGTACTAGACAATTGTTTACATTTGGCATAAGATCACCCCCTGAGTCTGTTCTCCTCATTCTTGCTGCTTTACTCAGCATTTCACGTATTTGTGTCATCCTCATCTGGGATGGAAAATCCTCAACATGTGGTGGAGAGCTGTCAGCCATCTTAAATAACAGCCTGAGCCACTTGGACTCTACATTGTGAACCTGACAATAAAAAGAGACCCGCAAGCAAAAATTGGAAAATCATATTATAGAGAGCTAAATGTCTATATTCCATTGTGAAAGAAGACACTGTAGCTTATTTAACAATTCAATTATAAATGAACTGAAGTCATGTTGCATGACAATGGCTGAGGGCAAAGCCCAAAACAACTGTCACACAGAATTTGAGAGCCAATTATCAAATTTATTTTGGTATAAATCAAATGGTTCTTCAAAACTTAAAAACAAGGCAGGCTTATTTTTTAGAGTGGATGAGCATAAGTTTGTACAAAAAAAAACAATAACAGCTTGATATTTTAGATTCACACACCTTATAGTGTATTGCTTCAGGGGGAAATTACAGTTGAGACAATTAAACCAATCCTATCTATCTTCTCTGAATTAAAATGTGCAAAACAGTTTATTAAGTGAAAATACAATTTACCACATTACTTGAGGATGTGCAATAACTTCTAGTCCTCCAATGTAAAACACAATGTTTGGATAGTTTATTTTGATTCCAGTTTTTGAATCCTGGAATGAATCTGAACAAATAAGAGAGTACAGAGAAGATGAAAAATGAAAATATTAGTATCAATTTCACCCTGAACAACAAAACTGAAACGAACTTCATAATTTGCAACCCTGATTAAAGAAAACATTTCCTGTAAGATTGTGAATCTGGATGGCATCGTGAGTGGTCAGGCAAGATAAAAGAGACCCTTTGTCCTGAAAGGTCATATGGTAACATGCAAGATCGGCTGGACTTATCTGTTAGGTATTGCATGCTCTACATGAAGAAATAGGCAAATTATTTCTGTGCAATCTTTCAGGTTATATTAATTAGTGGATACTGGCCTCTTTCTTTTCTAACATGTACGTTTTTAAAAACAAACAGAATGAGGAAATAAAATGAACAATATTAAGTCGTCTTGAAATCACTTGATCTGTAGCTAATATGTACATGTATATTGTAATTTCATCTATTCTCGTCTGAGTTCGTTCAGAAATTATAAACACGTTTGAATTGCATACATACATATATTACTAACGAAATATTTTGACCATATCTAGTCATCTTGAAATCACACTTGATCTGCAACGAAGTATGTTGTAATTTGATCTTTCCTCGTCAATTTTAAGAGTGATATTAGCTAATGACGTTTAAACCGTATTTTCAAAGTTTCTTCATAGGTAATGGCAACGCAAACAATACACTATAAAAATGTTTAACCTAGTGAGGTATTGCGTGCTCGTAAATTTTGAAATAAACGAAAGATAGGCTGTAAAATTAAAGACGAGCAGCACAAACATAAGCCTAACACAACAGGCAGTACACTAAAAAGAGTATTTGAGAGCAAAATTTGAACTTACGCGACAAAAATTTCACTGATATATCTTCAACCCATCAAAAATCTTTCTAAAAAGCTGCACTCACCTTAAGACCAGCACACGTTGCAGTATTTTCATGACACTTTCAGTTTCACTACGCTTCTTGGAAAGTTTGAGACGACTGAAGAGCTGTAGAGTGACCAGCGGACTACCACCTAAGAATATTTTTACTTTGTTTAAGTACTTTGTATGTGTCCTGACGAACTGCGCGGCCTTTGACGAAATGTAAGAGAATGGGTATTGGGGGGTTAGCTTTTATTATGGCGAGTTAACGTAACAAATTCACAGTTGTTTATTCAACCTACAATGCTTGATTTAACCCTTTACCTCCTATGAGCGACCAAGACAGAATTTCTCCTTACAATATCAATACAATATCAACCAGATGAGTGACAAGAATAAAGAAAAATATCAATTTGGAAGTAATAAGTTGATCCAATACTGAATTCTCTGAACTAACGTTATAGGAATTGGTTGACAGTGAGGAGAATTACAAATGTGATCTGGGAGGTAAAGGGTTGAGGTGAAAGTGGACAAAGGTGGGAGGGGTGTCTGGACTAACTTGCAATTTTAAGCGATAAGAAATTGATGATAGACAGTATATATTTGTTATACAGCTTTACAAATCTTCATGTTAAATCTCATGGCATATATCTATGTAGGCCATGACAAACAATATTCTTGTCCTGTAATTTTTTACCTAACTTTGCTTGTAATGGTGAGCCCAAACATATACAGGGTTGTGGGTGTAAGTTTCTAAGAAACTGTGGTGCTGCATCAGTGGGGAGTATAACAAGATAATTTTGGTTTTATCAGGAAAGAAAATTGGCCAAGAATTTCAAAGTTAACATTTTGAGCATTAGCCCTTTGTCAGAGCGAATTTATCAACTCAGTTGATAAAACCAAAAGTATCCCAATATAGAAGGTTTATGTGTAGCAAGATCCTATAAACTGTTTGTTCAGCCCTGTAGCCTTTCACAATAACCAGATAATTTTTAATATAGATGGTTCAATAAATATCTTGTTAAAAGCTCTCTATAAGATCTCTATCATACAGTATTCACAGTCATATATACACATTTGAAAACTACAGTCAAACAATACAAAAAGACCATATTAAAGAACATGAAAGCAATAGGACCTATGTAGATGTAACAGCAATGCTTGTAAAAAAAATTGATCTTGTACAAGATAATTTTGAAATTAACAGTCTAAGTACTTCAACATCTTTTTGGTAAAAAAGAATAAAAAAAAAGTTGACACTGGCTAAAAAATATATTGTTCTAGACATTTCAGCTACTACTTTAACATCTCTTTATAACTGTCATGAAATGCACTCATGATGAGCCACAGTATTTGTCTGCCAGTCTGTTTTTTCCAAGACTCTGGAGTGCCACTGAAAGATGAGCAAATGTTGCAGTCTTTCCTTGGTCAATCCAGGCTAAAAGCATTTGAAAAGCTTTTTCCTTTATTCCAGGGTACTGAATATTGTCACCCTGGATCTCCTCTAGTTTGGCATTTGGGATTTTCAGCTTTCGCCCCAAAAACTTCCAGAAAGAGACAATTTCTTGAGATAAGTTTTCCAAGACTTCTTCTGATGGCTGTTCATGATTGCTGTAATCTTCTTGGTCCATCTTTATCTTTTTGGGTGAGGGACCAACTATTTTCCAATAAAACAGGCAAGATGTTCATGAACCAGTTAAACCTCACAATCTCAAAAGCAATCAAAACAAAGCTTCTCTTTACAATATCAATACAGTATCAGGCTGATCAGCATTGAGCATAAAGAAAATTAACAGTGGGCAAAATGTCATGAAATGACATTTAATTCTCAGGAAAATTGAAAAATAACCATAAATATATCACTAAAAGGAGAAATGATGGATGAACTTGAGGTTTTATTAAAAAAAGTTGTCTGACCTTCAAAGATCTCCTTGTCCTGACTGTCTGAGAAACTGTCACTGATTTTTGTATCTGCATTAAAAGGAAAAAAGCTCATTATTGTCCAGCCAGTAGTAAAACATTTCACAACAAAGGTAAAAATAACATGAAAGAGGGTGATGCTCAGGAGAGCTTCTTTTCCATGGGTTCAATCAATCACAGAAGATATGCCTGAGCAAGGATATAGCTTGAAAAGGGACATGCATAAATATCATTCTTAAAAATGATTCTTTATCAGATTAATTAGCTCCATCAACTGAAGTTTTAGTCTAAAATTCTTGGTAACAATAAATATCCAAACAAATAACACCCTATCAAAGATTTCTTAAACCTTCCCAGCAGGACAAATATTAAGTATAGTCTGAATACGAGGGTCCCATGGCTTTCTGAATCAAAATAGACTCTAATGATAATTTGTTTTATGCTAAATAAGGGCTTGTTTTGGTATATCAAAAAGAGTTTAGACAGTCAGAAATTTTACTGCTGTTCCCATACCAGACATTGATAGCTGATGGATACTAAAAATCAGATATATCCCTACTTATTTAGGATGGTCAGAGATGAATCAGAAAAATCACAACCACTTCTTTTTTCCCCAACATGTTCCAGATTCTTGTCAGTATTCATTTAGGGTGTATAAAAGTTTCAGTTTTGGCTGTCAAGAATTTTGGTAATGCTAGTTTTTACTTCAAACAGCTTATACTATTTTGCAAAATGAAACAAAACAAAACCAGGTGACATATGACAAAACTAAAGGAATAATGCATATATATTTTGTAATAAGGTAAAGATAACTTTTTCAAGGATTTTGGAGTAATCATGAATTAATAAGAAGGATTTCATTCATTTTGCAACAGAGTTATTTAAGAAGAGGTACTACTTTGCAAATTGACTAATAGTCCATTTGGCAAAATAGTATCTCTCCTAAAATTATTGTTTAGCAAAAAGTACTTTAATATGGTTTAAGAAATAAGAGGAGCTCATAATCTTTGGTGATATATTAATTTGTAATGTTTAAATGTATTTTTGTGAAATGAAAGAGGTCAAGTTATCACCAAAGGGTGAAAATAGGCGATTTTGCAAAACAATAACTATTCTGAAATTACTACTTTGCAAAATGAATAAAAATCCTTCTCATCAATAGATGATTACTCCAAAATCCTTATGAAAGTTATCCTCACCTTATTAAAAAATACATCTGCATTATTCCTTTAGTTTTGTTATATCTTGCTTGGTTTCGTTTAGTTTTGTTTCACAAAACAGAATTAAAGCCACTTCAAACAAATTCTAAATTGCTTGGGTAGAGTCACACAAAGTTTAACATTCAATCAGTAGAATTGGGGGCACATGTGTTTGCAATTTTCCTGATATACTGGCACAGTCTGGGATGGTGAAGAAACAGTGAAATACACTATCATCCCAGATTGTTTTTTCCAACTAATGATAGCCAGCATTTCACTGTGATATTAGTCTTGGTGAATAAAAAGGTACAATAAATAAGAAACATACAAGTTCCTTCCTGCAGATGCATCAGAATTTCACTGGTCAATGTTCCTTTATTGTAACTCAGTTCTCCACATCCTTTGTGATGAACAGCAATCAGTGCCAGTCCCTCAGAGGCCAGTACTGGTGAACCAGAGGAACCAGTCTCAGTATCGGCTTTATAGAAAACAAAGGGTTTCTCCACATTTGAAATTTTTTCTTGAGAGAAATGCTTGGGTCGTCCTTTTGGATGCTGAATTATCATGACATTCTCCCCCTTTTTCAATTCCGGCTCTGGTTCCATAAGTATGGGTTGAATGGTTAGGTTCAAACCATCAATATCTGCCTTGTCCACACCAACAAACGTATAGTCAAGCTCCTGACAACAACAAAATTAATCATGAGCACAATGTGAAATACCTAAAATGCTGACTATGGTAACTTTACAAGGTGATAACAGAGCATGTCAAGAGCTATAAAAATTTCAGAGAAATGGCTATGCCTCATTGCAAAGTGATGGAGCAAACAAGAAACTAATCCAGAGAGCATAGGATTAACTCCTGGGTTGGGTTGTTCAAAGCTGAGTCAAGATAACCCAGGATTAGGGAGAAATTTTATGTCAGATCTAAAAGCTTCCAAAGAAATTTTTTTGTCTACAATGTTGTGATTGGATCACAAACAGGCTTTTGAACAAAGGAATTAAGGAAACCCAGATTAAAATTTAACCTTGGGTTAGCACTAGTTGGCCATCAAAAACTGGGTCCTATAGGAAAAATTTTTCAGATATCTTTTCACAGAAATGATTGTATCATCCATAAAACTATCAATTTCAAATTGTGGCACAATTGAAATATGTCAAAATGGAAGTGTCCAAGAAACCCACAAGTGAGGAAGGTTGAGAACAAATGATCAACAAACAAAATTAATGTTTATTCAAGGTTCTCTCCAATTAGCCATGGTAACCAAGCCTAGCACAAGATGGAAACCTTCTGTAATTGATTGGTCTAAGTTGGAGATGAAACTGTGAAATCAACTGGAAAGCCAAAATCCAAATTTATTGCATTACATCATCAGTGTACATTCTCCTTAGTCAAACTCATTAGATAAATCTCCTGTCACTATAAATTTGCATTTCATAGTCCTAATAGAGAACCTTTGTTTATATTTTAAACTCCCAAACTCCCATATGGAAAGCAACCTTTAGGACATTGCCTACAGGAATATTTTCTCTAATCCGACGAAATTTTGAAAATCCTCGAATGCAATTTCCAAATGGTGCAACAACCAAAATCGGTGTGGGGGAGGAGGGGGAACCCGATAAAAAAAATGGAGTTTCAAATTTTATTTATTTCTTCAGTCCTACATTAACAAAAAAGACACGTTTGTCTCGAAATAACTAGGATAGAGAGGAGACGGGCACGTCTAGCCTCCAAATTTTAAAATTGCCTAGGAAGCTTCATTGTAGAATTGGACGGTGCATTGTATCACATGCACATACTGCACTAACCTTGTTGGTACGAAACATTTTTTCTGGTTTTAATTTAACCTGCTGTCCTTCTTCTGATCCTTCATACCCGAACGTGGCGTGAGCTTTTTCAGCTTCGTTTATTGAGCCAAGCACGTGGTTATTAGTAAACACTCCATAAATTTCAACACAACCTCTTTCACTTGGCATATTAAGCTTGGATAGGAAACCGGTACCTCGCCTAAAATTTGAGAAGAATCGAGATAAAGTTAATATGCACAACTTAAAAGTCTTGGGAATAAAAGAGAGTACTGAAAAATACCACTAAGGAAACGATAATTAACAATAAAACGAAATCCTACTTTAGTCGCTCTTTGCGGGAAATCGGGTCTTTGCGAACAGTCTCGATGTAACACACCGCGTTGATTTTATCCGTGAGAAGTTTGGTACTCTGAAGGCCATTCCCTTCACTTAATATGACTTCATTTTGTTCCATGGCAGCCATGAAAATAATTTCAGCGAGGTAGAGAGGAGGAAAATGCTAGAGTGAGCAAATTTTGTTTACGTTTTGCTTCCACCTGGTCGCCATTCTTATGCAAATAATCTCCCGCGCAAGTGAACTCTTCCCCAGTCTACTCCCAGGAAGGATAGAGAGGTCAGTCTGGGCCCTTCTGAAAGATTTGTCCCAGACAGACTCCCAGACATAGTTTTACCTGTATCAAATTTACTTTCCAAACCCATTTTCACTCAAAAAGAAGTTTCGTGACTTTAAGAGACCTTTATTAAGCGAATACCGACGGGATATTGGGTGTTTGTTCAACATAAGGTCTAGAAAGTCACGTTATGATGAGCAAACATGACTTTCTAAGAACGATCTCTGAGGAAATCCCGCCCGGTATCTCAAAGGGTGTCTCCCGGGAACTCTCTCGGGATCTCGGGATCTCGGGATCTGGCGGATAATCTCGTCTGGATCCCGCACTGAATCCCGACGAGATCCTTAGCGACTGCAACAACAATTAACCCTATAACTGGTAAGAGTGACTAGCATCTAATTTCTCCTTACAATATCACTCCTGAATCATGAAGTAAGGTGATGAGAATAGAGAAAATTATCAGCAGCAAAGAAGCTGTAAATTGTTCCACAAATTCTCCTTGCCAGCGCCTTAGAGAATGTATGGGGAACAGTATGGAGAATACCTTTACCGATGTTAGGGTGTAAAGGGTAAAGAAAACAAACGACCAGTAAAAAGATAAATACATACATTAACAGGTAAAACGATTTATGTGCAGCCAAAGTTTAATTTTTAAGTATGGGGTAACCGAAAAGTCCAAGTGTACAAGTAAGGTTGTAAATTAAGTCTAATAAATGAACAAGTAAATAAACAAATAAAATATCTGATGAAGTTAAATTTTAACCAAACAAGAACGTTCCTTTAGAGGGTTCAACTGAGTATTGTCCGCTGACTTTTGAAAACTTTTATATTTGGCCACTTCCAATACAATCAATTCTTATGTTACTGCATTTGATGCATTTCCTAAAAGAGCAGTTACTTGCAGTGAACGGTATAATAAGCCCCGAGAGGTTTTCTAGGGCTCTTGCAAGTTCCCAATAGGAGTACTTTTAATAAGAACACGAAGGGATCCAAAATGAGATTGGGGATATCACCCTGCTTAAGGAATGCCGTTTAAAATATTGTATGCATTCCTTTGTTTGAGGAAGTAGGTTTCCATGATGCACTGAAACGCTATCTTGTCCAAATGAAAAGAAACAGAATGGTATAAACAACCGCAAAAAATTTTTATCACAGTATCATTTCGCTGAGTTTTCACTGAAGCGTTCTCATTTAGAGGTGAGAGAGGCAAGATGCAAACTTGAAGCTCTCGACAAGGTACTTACTTGAGCATTTGGAGCTCAAGAAAAACATTTGCTGATAACTTAAACTTACGCAAGAAATCAAAATCCCCTCCGCCTTGTGTTCGCCTCGGCTTCTATTTTAAAGTGATTCTGCCCTCACTGTCCTATGGTCTCGTCTTATTGGGATAGTGCTATAATAGTGAAATACTTCAGTCTCTGAAATGGCCCCATTGCAGAGCAGTAAGATTTATTTTAAACCTTCCCTACGATATTTAGTCATAGTATTTAGTCATTACTTTCAAAGAAGCATTACATCCACATGTACTTTCAGATCAGAAGATTTTATTTACACATAACACCTATTAAGTTAATCCCTAGAAATACTGTAATTTGCATGAAAGTTAGTAAACTTTACCTTTCTCGAAATGGCTGTACATCTTAGGTTTTGGACAAATCGTAACCTTTCGTTAGTCCATTGACACACTAGCTCTTTAAATAAACGACCCCACAAGCTTTACAGCTTTAACAATTATCGTTTCAAAATAAAAGGATTTGAACAACCGCAAAACATTTTTATCGCAGTGTCATTTTGCCATTAGCTTTTACGGGAGCGTTTTCATTTGGGGAAATTAGGAGAGGCTAGATCTAGTTTACTAGAAACTTGAAGCTCTCGACAAGGCACATACTTGAGCGTTTTCGGTAAAAGATTTATAAGAATAGTTTTCATTAAAATGTAATTTTATGTAAGTCCTATGACAAGTAACGCGCCTGTTTACAACCTTCAAAACGGGAGACTTACTAGTCACACTTTGTATATTGTCCTGAAGTCGTTGTTAATTAGGCTTAAAGCGAAACAAGCTATTTCACTGGAGGGGAAATGTAATGCCCCCAAACACCAAGAGAAGGTTCCACTACCCTTCCCCGTCCCAGCCCGATGAAAAATAAAACAACGACAAAAAATATGCATGAAACAAACACTTTTGACACTGGCCTGGGTGTAAAACAGGATGAATTGATATAAATATGTTAGTTTTTCGCTTATAAAGTCTGGGTCAATTGGAGCATACAAAACCACGAACTTTCGCGAAAAGAAATGTTTTGTTTCTTTCCTATAAACAATAAACTGTCCATGAATAGTTATCAAACAGTTCTAACTCTCTTGTGCATCTTCACGTAACAAGGCGATAAAGGGTGCGGAACGCCCACGACATGTTGCGGAGACGGCAAAGGAACCTCTTCCTTCACTAACTCTAGGTCAAAACTACAAAGAAGAAGAGATATAAACATTTGTATTTCCATCATGGCAAACCGACGACCTGGACACTGAAAGCGACCGCCGCCAAACGCAAAGAATTTGTCAGAGGGGGCAGATTTATCTGAGCCTACAGTCTGATTCCAGCGTTCTGGAACGTAGGATCTTGCATCAGGATAGATGGCTTCGTTTTGATGCGCCCAATAAGGTGAAATCATAAGCATATCACCTGCTGGAATTGTAAATTCACGAACTTGCATGGGTCCTGTAAGTTTGCGAGCAATCATTCCTGCTGGACGCAGGCGAATGGCTTCCAAAATACAGTGCTCCACCTTGCGCAATTTCTTAACTTCTTCCAAAGAAAGTTTCGCCAACGACCCTGCAAGACATGAACGAGTTGCATCACAGAGCTCTGTTGAGTTTCAAAAAGAGATTAGTGATAATTTTACAGCTACCCTCTTTGTATTCAAGGAATTATCGTCCTTCGTCTTAATAAAGAATATTCAACAGCAAGTGTTGTTCTCAAGTACACAAATGCAACTTCAGGTGCAATGGGCACACAGCTGGGTTAATCCTTTAACTCCCATGAGTGACCAAGAGAGAATTTCTTCTCACAAATCAATACAATATCAAGCTGACAAGTAATGAGAATAAAGAAAAAGATCAATTGGGGGATTATTAGTTGATCTAATGCCAAATTCTCTGAACTAACATCATAAGAATTGAATAGATGACAGTGAGGAGAATAACTACTAAGATCTTGGGAATGAAAGGGTTAAAACAGTTAGTGAAAGAATTCATCTAGCTGCTACAGCCTTTTGATTAAAAGAGTCTGGATACAAATATAAATTCAAGTGACCCTATGGTGAACTTGTGGATATACTGTGCAGGATGCGACTATGATATGCTGTCTCAGGTGGCTAAATAAACTTATAAATGGGTGAGTTCTTAGACCTTGAGACTCTGCCCTCCAAGGCTCTGCCACTTAACCACAGACTCTCTAGTGAGCTAGGCCAGTATTACCTCATTAACCTTTTCACTCCCAGGAGTGATCAAGACAGAGTTTCTCCTTACAAAAATCAGTACAATGTCAAGAAGGCAAGTGATAAGAATAGAGAGAAATATCATTTGGGCAATTGTTAGTTGATCCAATACCAAATTCTCTGGACTAACAGAATAAGGACTGTATGGCAGACAGTAAGGAGAATTGGAGGGCTCAGAGCAAGAATGATCCCTTAATTTTTCGGCCATTTTTGAAAGTGTTCAGAAGTAGTTGAATTTTGGCATGTGGACACTTTCAAAAATGGCCGAAAAATCAAGGGATCGTTCTTGCTCTGAGCCCTCCAATTACTTATAAGATACAGGAGTCAAAGGGTCAAGAATTCAGATAGGTATTGTAACACTTCAGGCAGGGACAACAAGAGTCTAGTGTACTTACCACTGTCAATGTATGGCCCTAGTACAAGATCAACCTCCTGTTGGAGATCCTTTTTAATGCCTTGATCACTCAGTACAAAAGCCAAAGTCCAAAATGTGATTGGCACTGCATTTGCAAGGGATGCCCAGAGCAGTAGAGTTGCATAATTTGGTGCACAATCACCTTCCAGTGATTCAACCATGGCTTGAAGTAATGTGTCCTCTACATTTGCATAAGTCTTCTTTTGCAGTGCCTTGCCAAACACATCCAACAGAAAGTATTTTGATTTTGCCCATTCTTTTAACAAAAAATCTGGTAGCTTGGCACCATGCTCAAAATTACTATCAAACTGATCAAATTGTTTCTGAAAGTGTTTAAATTCTTGATGAGTTTGAGGAAGAATTCCCTCACCAAACAGGACAGGTACAACTGCACTGAACACAATGTCACGAGCCAAAGTCATCAAATCAACTTCAGAGCCAGTAATTTTTGCTAGGAGAATTAAATGAATGAACATGAGTAGAGGAAAACATAAATAAATAAAAATAAAAGTGTTTAACAAACATAGCATTTACCCCCCCCCCCCCTCACTGACTTGTCATGCAGCCATAGTTAGCCTTGCATGTGCAACATGACTGAATTTTGCAATTATTTACTGAACAGGAGAGCTGGGTGGGAAAGTATCTGACTTAAGGTCCTCACTTAATGACTGAAAGTCAAATATTTTTCCATCTGGCCCAAACTTACTCAGCTAATAAGCATTTCATCATATGACCAACAGTCTTCCTCTTTCTTACCTTCTACTTTCAGCTGATCTCACAAGGCTGTATAGTATTTCTGGCCTTGTGGCTTTCGGATAGTTTTTATTTTTTAAATGCCTTTTCAGTACAATAATTCCCAGGGCTGCATGCATCATCCAATAACAAGGAAACTTCTATAGAGTATGCTAAGTTCAGAGTAGTTCACTTCCCACTCCTGTGTCAGGTGTCCCAGATAATTCTATGGTACCCTTTCAAATCACCTGTAAGTCAAACACTTTTCAGTGTCATTTCAGCAACTCATAATTTGAAAATTGTTATTGTTATCACCCCATTTTAATTCTTAACAATCTGTCAGTGGTTTGACTTTTATTGTGCTGAAATAACCTGCTGAGAGCATAAAGCATGAGTCATGCAAGAAAAATTGAGTATAAACTAGTTATGCTTCTTCTCTACCTGCATAAATTGTGCCACCCCTCATAATTTCCAGTTCTTTAGTGAAAAGTGCAAAAAAGAGGAAAATTGTGTGTTCAGTGGGATAGTGCTGGAATGACAGACTTGACAAGGTTTAAAAGTGAAGCCAGTTCTAGTCTCCTTACTCACATGCACTGTAGCAACTTATGCCATGTTTCTATGTTGTAGAAAGGAGCCTTTTGACACTGTTTCTCTCCAGAGTGGGAGGTTGGTCAATCTGGAGTCTATGGCCAGCATTTTTTAATTCATTGGTTTCCCTGACAATTTATTAGCACACATTTATACTCCTACAGGGAAAGGAACCATCTGATGAACATGATAAGTGACTTTGGTTTAAGTTGACACCTGATTTAACCTTTTGATCCAAAGTCAAGAGCACTACCCATTAAGGTCAACAAGTCTACAAAGGAGTATGTCAATAAGTTGGGAATTCAAACTGCAACTGTTCTAAAGGTTTCTTTGAGTGGTGTTAAAAACTTGAACACTTCCCGCCCTTCTAGACATACCAGTACAGCTTTTCATACGTTTTACTTCTACCAGTGACTAATAGCCACATTTATAGTGCACTGAATGCTTTTTGCCATGGAAACTGTAATTCATATGGTTATGGTTATTTGGCTTATTTCCAAGGCTTCATGCTGGAAATCTCATCTAAACCTTTCAAGCGTTGAGTATGGAAAATTTTCCACGCTAATAGCTACTCAGATTATGGATTCCACAAAGTGTGTGAACCTGGGTTTTTTTTTAAATGTACATAACCTATGACCTCAAGCCTTGATTTGTAGCACGTCAATTCGTTTACGATAAATCTTTCAACCAAGTCATTTTGATGGCTCCATAGAATTGAGAGATCAGATCGTTGTCATTGGCACTAATCTGCCCCATAATTATCCAGCTGAGCCGAAGGTCTGTAATCAATATCACAGAAAATTTCACCTCGCAGCGGTAGGTTCGTCCTCTATAAAAAAAAGAATAATTATAGCTTCAAATAAAAGATCCACACAAACTTACCACTTGTTGCATATTCTTCTAGTTTCCGACCAACTTTTGGAGTTAATTTGCTCAAGTTAGAAGAGGACAGCCTTCCTTTGACTAAATCATGAATTTTACGATGATTAGCAAAGAAATCCACCCTGTTGATTCCCGCCGTGTTCTTCACTGCATCTTCGACGGCTCGCTGGAAGTCTGCTTGAGGAGAGTTAAAAAATAAATGGAAATCTCGGACATCAGTCAAAAATGTCATTCGCTGACCAATTGCATAAAATGTGAAGACCTCGCCATGCTTTTCGCTGGATTCTTTGATGAAAGTCAGCGGTGCTTTTCCAAACTCGATCGCACATCCGAGCCAAGGAATCCATCCTTTGATAATCGGTGGGTATTTCACGTTCTTCGTACGCAACAAATTAAGTGTCAATAAAGAAATCACGAGTAAAGCTGCAAAAATGATGAATGATGAAAGCTTTAATAGTTCCGCAAATGCAGCCATGTTTGTTGTTCGAAGGAGTTTATGGGACAGAACGCCCCCTGGCGCGGGAGCACCACGCGGGACCCTCTGTGTAATTTTCACGTGACACCTGATCTCATTACGATGTTAAATTCCTAAATTAAGGTAATCAGATAAAAAAAGACCAAAAAAGAGACTAATGTTGCTTAATAAAATCTCAAGAACAAGGCTGATACGATAAAAAGATAAATAAGTAATTCCTAACAACCAACTATCTCAAGCTATTTTTGAAACTAGTTTCCGGCGCAAGAGACAAACTGCGAATATTTTGTGTCTAAGCGGGTGTTATAATCGTGTTACCATAATCCTTGATCCGTGATCTAAGTGACCATAATAGGGTACGGTCTAAGGGCCACCCTGTAATAGATATTGCTACAGATTTTACTTCTGTTTTCTTTTTGTTTTTGTTTTTTTGTTTTGATTAGGTAACAGGCTTAAGTTCTGATTCGACAAATTAAAAGAGTGTGATCAGCCAGCAAGGTATGCAGCTGAAACTGCTCCATTGCATGCATTGCATAATTGCAGCGCCAAAGATTTTATTAGTGGATATGTGTTGCAGTTGGTCAAAAATTTTAGCCAAAGTGATCAAATTTATTGCACTGTGGAAAACAGCGTGACTTTTTGTAATTTAGAACATGGTTATTGTTAAGAAATTGTAGGAATGTCGAATGAAAGTGCACGCAATTTTGATACCTCAAGGTAACTTCCTCTCTTTTCCACCTTGTCTTGTGGGGGTAACTCTCATCCTTTGCGGGACTCATTGCTTATGTAGGCAGAAAGTTTGCCGTCATTGCAAGTTAAGAGCAAATGGGACAGAAAAGTTGCGGCATCCATCGATTTTAGATTCTTTCTTTTTTCGGATCAAACTGGGTGGCATCATTGAAACTACAGCCCCTAAAACGGATGTCGCTAATAATGCCAAAATAACGGGGGCGGAAGTGATCTTAATCTGCCTCCTCCAGTGACTAAACTGAGTTCAGTTTATTAAAAAACAAACAATGAACTTTTAGAAGGATCGTCATTTTAGGTATCAGTTTGCTGTTTTTCACTGTTTGACTGTGGTCTGAGTTGTCTGGTTACGACGAAATAGTATCTGAGCACGATGATGGGCCCACGGAGTGCTAACAGTAGGCACAAGATTTACACAATTATTTTCTGGAATTTTCCTTTTCTTTCCCACGTCGTTCGAGATGAGCAGTTTCCCTTTCATGGTAACGGCTCCAAATCTTCATCATATAAGTCACGATAAGGGCTTTCCATGGTTGTATATTTTTGCTTTTGATATTGAGAGACAAGAGTATTCTTCATCGTTCTGTTTACTCTTCATTCCAGGTAGTTTTAAGCATCGTATGTGTAATCACTCTTTTCCCGAGTAACGTGCCATCACATGATCTCGGGAACGAACGAAGATCCAACGAGACCAAGCCGAGCTTCAGGCAAAGTAGCCCCCTTCTACCCCGATTCCACAAGCATCGGATAAAGAATAACAAGCCAGCAGTTTACACCAAAGAAGCATCACCCATAACTTTAACCCAACGTCCAACGAACAGCAGGCGAATTCGTCTTTTTGGCCGAGTAGGACTGTTTCTTCATTGTAATGCAAACGGAACAGTTTCTGGTTCTTTGAATCGACACAGTTCATATGGTAAGTATTTTAGGCTTTCTGAGTTTATAATCTGTTTTTTATTTTTTTTAGTCTGGATACAATTGCAACGTGTATTGCCAGTGTCTGACCGATTATTAATGTACATTTGTTTCAATTAAGTCGAAAGATTGTTTTTATAAGTCATTAACAGTGAGCAAATTAAGTTCTAATTTCCTCCCGCATAAGTATCCTTCCCAGCTGTGGGTTAGAGAACTGAGAAACAACAACTTCACAATTTTTAATGCGGAATTTAACACGAAAACGCATTACTGATTCGTTAGTGCCGTCAGTTATTCACTAAGTGGAAATACGCCTCAAAGACGCTTAGCTTGAACTGCCAACCGAAGCTACCTGTACTGCGATTTCCCGCACAATTTTCCCGAAAACCCCTCTGTTTCTCAGAGAAAAAAAGTTGTGAAACTATTTCGGTTAGAGCATTCATCTTTACTTTAAGGAATGCATGAATGTATGGCGCAAAACTATGAGCTCCTTGAATCAATTTATTTTTTTTAAGGGAAATCTCGAACCTTGTGAACAATATTGTTTGATATCAATACCAAGGTCTCCAAACGAATTTTAAGTAACGGAAATAAACGATCACCGTGGGACCAATGATTAATACAAATTCTAGAAGTGTTCATCAGCCACTGCCATATTCATGACAACCTACACTGCGATCTTATTATCTCAAACAAAGTCATGACCAACATGACTGTGCTAAACATGATAAGAAAAGGTGTCTACTCATTCACGCAAAGAAGCAGGAGTAGCAAATATAACGGCATCGAACTCACACAGTTAAATTCAAGTTCCCACTGCAAAAGCCGCTTTATAAGAAAACTTATTACCACACGCTACACGGAGGGATGGAGACATATTTCAATTAATATTTTAATCACTATTTTAATGCACAAATACAGATCATACCGGTTTTTCTCACGAAATAGAATGATCTTTATTTAGAACTACCCAAAAGGCGCTCAAGAGATCAAGGAATGAAAAGTGGTCGTAATCTCAAATCTTACATGTCTTTAAACGGTTGTTTGTCAATTCAAAAGAGCAATAATGAAGGATATAAACCCGTTTGAACTTGCATGGGGAGTTTTTGCTGTTCCCTTAAAGCCTTACAGGAGTCGCATAGGACACGTGGCAAACAACGAACAAAGAGCGAAGGGGGAGGAGAGGGGAGGGAGTTTTTTTTTTTCCTTTCATTTCGCTCCAATCTCGGCTTCACTCACGTAAATCCCACTTGGGTAAACGGAAATGGGAGCGACTGCTGTGCAGGCCAGTTAAGACATCCGGTTTCAAGCCGATTTTTCTGTTTTGTTTTTCCCTGATCCCCAGCGGTACTGCTGGTGGGAATAAATTATAACAAATACCAAGGTCCTTTGAAATCCCTTAACAAGAAATTAAAAATTAAATTCAAAATTTAAACGCTCTTTAAGCTATCGACAACTTTGAGTTTGTCCTTTATGTAGTTTGTTTTGTGCATGAACTAGTTTACTAGAGCAGTATGTTCTTTGGCTCAATCTCGAGCATGTAATCGAGATCCTCCTGTATAGACTGATACTCGAGTCATCCGTGCCCTTCGGTTTTGCCAAACCTTCCCCTTAATAGAAAGTGTCTACTTGAACGGAAAGTCGCTCGATACTCGCAAGCGTTCGGCAAACTTCGTCGGTACATCGTGTAAAAAGGACGGAAAAATTTTATTAAAAGGCAAAGTGTATCATGTAAGATTCGATTGGAGCTTATCCTAGAGTTGCCATTCTGAGCTGTGTGTTGGCCACTCCTGATGTATTTCAGCTTGTTCCACGCTACTGTCAATGATAAGAACGGAACTGCGACCGATCGATCTCCGCTGGTTTTCGCCCTTGCCCCTGCCCCTGCCCCCACACCCAACTCCGCCTTTTGGTCCGCCTCCTCCGATCGAGAGCTAAGACTGGATATAGATCGCGAATGAAGCAAGATTGATTCCTTAGACTAAAACTAAAGTATCTCTGTCTCGCAGTAAAATTTGAGCTCCAGTCGTTTGGTCCAAGTATTGTTCGAATCCGAAGCATTGGAACTGGGAAGTTCTTCGCAATCAATTCTAAGGGAATCCTGCATACAATCGTAAGTAGAGGAAGTTTATTTTATGTAATAAGCTCAGTTATGCACGCATTCTGATTGGTTCTCACTCGGATCGGATCTATTGTGAGGACAGACGTATGGGTGACGTCATCATTTAAACTTTTTTAAATTCTTTATTATATAAAACAAGTAGATTCCAAGTTGCCGTGCGTCTGTTCAGGAAACACATTCGGCTACGCCTCGTGTGCCACTTTTTTGTTCTTACCACATTTTGACGTCATCTGTAATCTATTACTGAACAGACGCACGGCAACTTGGAATCTATTTGTTAAATGAGGCATACCCATGCCAAAGCTCAACACAGACGACGTCGTTTATGAAACAATACGAATTGTTTTTGTTCCTCTGCTTTCCTTATTTTTCCCTTCTTCTAATATATTTAATTTTGTACGATAAGCTGACTTACACACGCATTTTGACCGGTTTTTGTTTATGATCTATTGACGGTCAGAGTATAGATGACGTCACTACATTTTGATGTCATCTGCGATCTTTTACTGAGCGGAAGTACGGAAACACTTTCCATTTTCTAAAGTTACTCATTTTTTTGTTTCATGTTATCCTCGTCCTCTGCCGCCTGACTACAAATTGCTTATTCTATTTTTATAGTATTTTTTCATTAGGTTTCAATTCCTTTGATGACCTTTTGGAACTCTCCATATCAATTGTAGGTATCTCCTTTTCTTTTGCAGGGAGAAGCAACAGACGAATGTTTATTCTATCAAAACCACGAAGAGAACCTCTTTCTATCGTTCGCCTCTTTTAAGTATTACATGAAAGAACATTACGACATGTTTATCAGTATAAAACGAAACGGAGAAGTAAAACAAGCTACTTCCACTCTTCCCGGACAGGACAGTATTCAATTCATCGCTCTAAACAGCGACAGCTTGAGATTGGCTCGACTCCACAATTGAATTATTCTGACATGCGAACGGATTGCGAAGCGATTTGGTTTCAAAGAATTTTGGGCTTCAGTCAATTTCTTTTCTCCGTGTTACAAGCCGAAAGCGAGGACCTACACGCTCCAACTCGCTCCAGTCTCAGTCGCTATCTTCTATCCACGTTTTGTTTGACAAGATACCGCAAAAACGCGCGCGTTGGTTTTCGGTTTTGCTTCTGAACCAATGAAAGGGTATAATTCGCTCTGAACTCACACCTAACATTTGAATTTTTTTTGAAAATAGGGACGATTAACGCGACTGAAATCCTTCTTCCTCATGTTGTATGTATGGTTAATTCCTTTCCTAATCAAGTAACAAAAAATTGTTGCATGTTAGGAGCTTGATACTGTTTTTATTTGCTCGTTTTGGATACTTATATCACTCATTCTCCAAAGGACTCACCGAAAAAAAAATGCCGTGATGATATTAAGACTCGACAAAAAGGCAATACCATTCCCTTAACCCTTTGACTCGACAATATATAGTAAGTAATTCTCCAAATTAATTCTCATAAAGTTTCCCTGAAATCAAACAAGAGAATTTGATTTATCCGAGCAAGAGAACGAATTTTCTTTTACTGGCGTGATAACCCACACAGGATGTTGCGAGAAAACGAGAAAATTTTGTAAATCAACTGCCCCCAGCTCGTGATTTACAACCATTTCGATTCGATTTTCTCGTGTTCACCTGACATTCTGTGTGGGTTATCACGCAGATAGTGCCGCCTATTGCTTTCTTTAAATAAGTTTTAATTTTCTATGGGTGTACCGATGCAATAAACGATAGATTTTTGACCAATCAGGGTGTTGAAATCATCTCAGTTATTTTATAAAACAAGATAACACCATGTAACTGATGAGCTTCTTTATTCTCCTAACCTGTTTGCAAGATAACATAGCAGAATCGCAAGGAGAAGATACATGCTAATCATCTCTGAAAACTCAAGAGTTAAACATGCAATACTTTACATTCGCCTCAAAATGAAAGGTATACATTGTTCAAAATATAAATTAAAAGACTCTACGACATTTCTAAGTCTGCGAAGATGCGTCGTGTCTTTTCGGGAAAACCAACAGTAAGGAAACTCGACTAGAATTTACTATTTTCTAAGAAAAGTTTACAATTGTTAAATTATCATACATGGATCTTCCATCAAGGGGATACTAACATCGTATATGCATTTATGAGATGAAGCCACTGATTTGTTGCACGGATTGTACTCTGATATTGGATAATCTGTGTAAAAATGGAAACATGGAAAATGCAAATGCTTGTCTCTGAGTGAAATTCCAGAGAATTGCTCCAAATTTGTACAAATGATTTAGGTAAGGTGCATTAACATGATTTATGGCCTCTGAATACCTATAAACATCTAAATGGAAAGAAGATTTCATATTTTAATACTAACTAATAATAGAGAATTTATTTTCCTTTTTTCCTTTCTTTTCGTTTGAATAATGCACTTTCCCGTATATGACGCATATAAGATCAGTTTGTCTCTTTCTTTCAATGGCTACAGACTTTCCGAACACCAAAAAAATGTTCGATATTGCCTTCTGATTTGCCAAACGCTCAAGTTTTTCAGGCAAGGGAAATTTAAACTTTCTTTTGGCAGCTGAAAAAGCGACAAAAGTAATGGTTTTTTAGTTCCGGCGTCACAAAATGGCTCTTTTATTCCCATGTAAAAATCGCAGTTTCTTCTGTCTGTGCTCTGTTGTTAACCCATGTCTCTCTTGCCTTGTTTCACGCGACTTTGTCTTGCAGGCGTTGCTATTCTCATTTTATCGGTGTTGTTGTTATGCAGCAACAGAAACTGAACTGAGATTTGTCCAGGGTATGTCAACTTTGGAGACTTACAGCGTCCATTTTGTTTGATTCCAAGGAACAGGTCATGTCGTTTGATCTTGAAATATTTGTGCGAAGTAAATGTATGGAAGTAGTTTTCCTCGTACATCGTCTTGAAAATGCTTTCATCCGAAATTTTAGACTGATAGAAGATAAAAGTCACAAAAGAGTTTAACCTCATAAAACTAAGCAACGATTTTAACTAAAAATCCTAAGCCGGGGACACGGGTGCAAATACTCATTCTTCACACTTTGTGCTTTCACAGTGGTTAAACTCCCTTTCCCTCCTTCCCTGATTCCTTCCCCAAAAAATTAAGATCGTCTTTGTACGAGGGTAGGGTGAAAGGATGGAAAGGGAAGGGAGAGAAGGAATGGTGCTGCATAGAGAAAGAGGCGCGCGTCCAACTTTACGAAGTTTTCCAAGACTCTTCGATGGTTTTTGATTGCGTTGGGTAAATGTGCTCAGTAAGAGAAAGAGAAAGAGTATAGTATTTCAACGCAGCAATTCCATGAGAAGTCCTTTCATAAAAATAGAAAACTAATTATTCTGCGAGTGATTGTCACAAGTATGATAAAGATCGATGTGTCACTATTCTAAGGCCGTGTGCAGGGGGGAAAAAGTTTTTCAGTAACCATACGCAAACCACGCGGGGAATAGATGAATATAAAAAGGCAAGTCCCAGTCAGTTTGCACCCTTGTTCACGTTGAATCCAATGGCCCCAAACTCGAAGATTTGCGCAACAGAAAAAGTAAGTAACTGATATCAGTGTTTTCTGTTGAAAATCTTGTTATTTTCTTTGCGTATTGGCTGTGCCAACATATAACATTATCTACAATACCACATGGTCTAATAGATTAATTAGGGTTTCATCTATTTAAAGATTTAAATGCATCATAACTTTTTTTTTAAATGAAACTTTATTTGTTAAGCTTGATATAAAATATGAGATTATTTTTTTTTTATCATTTAAGTTGAAAGAGACGGCAGCTCTTCAAGAAACGACATAAAGGTAAGATTTTAAACATTTCTGTAATTGTGGTACATCTTGCATGTTATCAGATCACTTTTACGATAGTTTATTAATATAGGAATAAAGGACATATGTCTAAAACACGTGAATAACACATTGTAATCAATGATTTGTACCTCGACCTCTAAGGTGGATACGTTATCAAAAGTTAATTAAAATGTGATATTTGAGAGCAGAATTTCAATAATTTGGTTTATTCTGGTTTATAATTTGGATCAATTCGCAATTTTTTTTCGGTTTACTTCGGTTGCTATGTCAGGGTTCGCCTTAGTATACTTAATTTGTGCCTCAAATCTTTAAACTATGAATGTCTTCAGTGTCGTTCGAAGACTCTTCGGAAACGCACATTTGTGTTCGATGACTCTAAGTCTGTTTACGCCTGCGGTTATGAATGTTTTTTAAAGTATTACGTAATACTTAAAACTTACATAACTTACTTAATGTTGAATGAATGAACCAGAGCAAAATCTTAGCAAACATCAAAGTGAAGGTATCCGATTTCTAAGAAAGGGCTCTTACTTCTGTATTACAACTTCTAATCATTCTCGACAAAGGCAAGCTAGAAACCAAGTCATACCTGTGTAATAATCCTTCCCTTTGAATTGATCGCCAAAAATCGTCCGCTGGCAATATTTCGCAGCCTGACAATACTCGTTCCAAGGGACTGGGACTCGAAAAATGCTAAAAGTACAAAGTTCGTTAAAACAAGCTTTGTGTGTGTGTGTGTGTGTGTGAAGGTTAGAATAAACATCATGGTTACATAAATCGAAGGAGGGACATATGTTCTTGCCTCTGGGGTAGGGAAGGGACGGTAACAGCTACTTACTGCTTTCACTTGATTCATTGACGATTCCGACAACACGGTTCTTCCTTGCCGTAACATTTAGTGCCAGAAAATATCCCGTCTTGCAAAAGAGCTGTACAATCTGTACATGAGAGGGAGTTTTAGATGCAACTTTAAAGATCTGGTAATTTATTCGAATATTAGCCGACGATTCGTCGATTCCATCACTGTCATCTCCTTTGGTGTGAATACATCTCGGACGGCGTATGCGAGAGGGCCTGGATACCACATACGGGAATGGAGAAAGAGCTAGCACGGCCCAAATAAGGCACAATGAAACTCTAAGCTGCCAGGAAAAAAATGAAGGCAATATGTTAGCGAGAAGTTCCCCAAAGAAGAGCAGATCTTATAACTTTAAATAAATGAACGTCAACGCTCGTGTGAGAGAGGCATGAATAGTCAATTATAAAAACGCCCTTTTCAAAAAGTGAAAAAATTACTTCGTTCCAGGGGAAGTGGCAAAGTTATTTATGGCTTCGATGAATGGAAATTTCTTCAGTTTTCTTACTGCTTTGTCCCCCAGTTGAAATGGAAAGGTCTGCTCTGTTATCTGTAGTCGGGTAGGGGGTCGTGTGTTTCCATATTTAGCTACTTGGCTCGCTATTTTTGGTTCGTTTTAGTGCACTGTCATCAAACAATGTTTTGTTCTTTCATAGCAACCGGCACATCGCTAGAGTCACGAACGAACAAGGGCAGGTCAAAATCACCTCCAACAACAACAACGTGAAAAACGAGAACAATTTTGTTTGTTATTGCCTTTCTTTAATGGTTCTCGCGCTTCCTCAATCTTAATATTCTTTGAAAATTCGTGGGTTTAGAACAATACGTGAAAGACTTGCTTCTTCGGTATATTAGCCACTGACCGTAAAACTGGCGACCGGAACATTTAGCTCAAAACAGTGCCTAGAGCCAGCTTTCATTTCATTTCGTGCTTTCCTTTCCTTGTTTTACAATTATTGTTATTTCAGGGCTAATTAAGCACGCTATGTTCTGAAGGGTCCCGGAGAGAGAGGAGACAGATGGAAATAACTAGATTGCTTTTGAATACAAAGACTTTTGAAGAAAATTTAAAAAGGCTCAATTGTAATAATTGTAGCACATTTGTTTTTTTTATCAGGAAACATTACAGTACACCAGCATTTGTGAAATTTGATCGTTATTTTTAATCGCGCCAGTGAACGAGTAGCACCAGAAATATGGAAAAAACAAGTTTGTTTTTTCACCTCAAACTCTGCTAATGTGGTTTCGTCTGTGGTTGAATACAGTAGGTCTTTCTTTGAATACCCTCTCATGCTCGATAACACGAATGTGCGCGCCTTAACCAACGAATCACATGCTTTGATCAGCAATAAAATTTGCCGTCAGTCACCATCTTGCGCAGTTTTACATAGTCTTGCCGTTGAAAATAATCTAGAACGTGGCCTCTCAAGAGATATTCGAGAGATCGCTTTAATCATCAACGAAATGAAATTATGCTATCTCAGTTAGAAGGTTCACTGAACTTTGGTGGCAACAAATCAATGGAAACTGTAGTCATTAAATGTCACTCGAAACCGCCCGCCCGTGCTACGCTAATGCTCACCTGAAAGAAAGAAATTTTATCAAATATTCTTCCCACGCCTTTTATCGTGCGTGAGTCTGAACGTCGTAAAAGCGGGCCGGTTTGCCATTCAAATATCTCCACCACATACTGATTACGAAAAAAGATACTTGTATATCGTCATTCTAGGACTTACCATCGACGGAGCCATTAAGATCAATCGCAGGTTTCGCCAACGGGCGTAACCAGAACACAAGAGCCCTGCGTTCGAAACAGATATGGGCTGAGATGTAAAATATTCTTGCAAAAGGCAAATTCACCCAGACTTGTCTGAGAGGTAGAGACGTCTTGGTGAGTTGGTGATTAAGACCGGAAGCTTTTGAAGCCGGCAAACGCTGTGGAAAATGCAAACAACCTGAAAACGTACGGATCTGAATGGAGGTAGGTGTTTCAATCGAATTAAATAAACCACTGTTGAAATCACAGTGTGAAAGCAGCTTGAAGATTATTGAGGGAAACAAATAAGGATGCAAATCGCTGTAATCGTGCGGCCTTTGTTGGAAGCCAAACAAAACAATCTATTAGCCATCCCTGATGAGGGTAATGCGAAGAAAAGCAGGATATAACTCTCCTACTGATAGCGCGACAAGATCCAACGTTAATATGAACAAAGAGTTGACGTCTAGCTAGCATATCCTTAACAGAACCTTCTAATCACTTTTGATATCTGTGCGAACTATTGTCAAGAGGTATATTGATTGTCGGGGTAAGTTAGGCATCAGAAGTCGGCCACACCAAAACTAGAGATTGACTTGTGCTTCATTTGCCATGATTCGACCAATACGATCGTGATATTTCAAACAAAAATGTGCCGACAGGGCTTGTTAATTACCTGATGGAGGGAGACCGCGCGTGAAATACATGGAAGTCGTTACACTTGAAGAGTGAAAACAGCCTGGTATCCTCACTTGATGTAACGAATTTGCTGGTCGAAAGCGCGAATATATGGCATTGAATCAGGTTGAAAAAAATGTTACGTCCAAAACGTTTCCTTGCAGACAGTTCGTAATTCTGTACCTTATCGTCTTAATATTATGAACTGTTCATTTTAGTCGTTTCGAACTAAGATCCTGCGAGAAATTTAAGATTTACAAATTTTATGCAACTAAACACTAAGGATAGCCATCAATAGCCTTTGGTTTGCCTTCCTGCAGTTGCTAATTACTTTGCAAAGACTTGGCTCTCAATGTTAAAACCAGCCAAATTGAAAGTTTGATTTAAAGCATGAGTTGAAAAAATTTCGCTCATATTTTAGAAGAGGAAATACCATGATGAGTGCAACCACAAAGATCTTCTCTAATTCAGAGATCTTCTTTGTGCGTTTTATACAGATTGTCTCACTTTGAGAAAAGAGCGAATTAAACCCGGCGCGATTGGAACAAAAAACTGGTATATAAGGCTATAAATTTGATTTTAATAATAAATTACGGTGCTACGAACCTCAGATAGTGTACAAACTACCAAAAGGTAGTTTAAAAAGGCCTCCTTTACGTATCGAAAGGATATGATAGACCACTGAGTAAGCATGCAGACAGCATGCCTGATTAGAGAGGCAGATATGCCGGATTAAGTAAGATAATATGGGAGAGACTTTACAAGTGAGGTAAATGAAGTAATTTGTAACATCATCAGAAATAAAGGGTATTTTTCAGTGATGGAAAGGCATATTCATATACAAGAAAATTCTCTCGTGGCCATAGTCTCGACTTTAATAAAACACTAAAAATGATGGTTCATGATTACCTATCGACCGAAAAATCGGTTTCTCCGATTTGTCATGGATAGTGACTTCTGTTACCAACCGCCACTCCTTACCAAATTACCCTGAGTGCAGTCTTCTCCTGACAAAATTGACCATAAGAACAGACAGAAACATGGACAAGACCCAGAAAAAAAGGGAAGACCAAAACTTTATTTATCTTTAGGTGGTCAAAAGGCCGGACATGAATTATATCGCTTTGTCACTCTACCCCGCCTCTGTTGGTATTTATTACCTTTACAGCGAAAGAGGCAGGACTAATGTTCTACTGTAGAAAAACTTAACAATACGTCTTTTCCGCTGGGTGCCTAAAGGACAGGTCTTGTCATGGCACGTTGACCAAATTGAAAAGGAACAAAACCTACGCAAAGACAACACGTGAGGTCAAAAGAAAGCCGACTGCTTAAAATTCAGTGCAAATTAACTCTTGTTAGCGCTTATTTGGAGCAAAAGACAAAAACCAAAATTACACAGTCATGCAAACATTCATACAACGATATTTCACTTTAAAGCTAGTAGAATAAGTTTAAGAAAATACAAACAAACAATGAGCTGAGAATGAAGGATCGGAGAGCACCTTTGGGAGACGAAAAAATCTTGCGCATGTGAACAATTTCCTTTAAAGATTTTTTACTTTAGCTCAAAGACTATGGCGTTTTAAGGGAAACCGGCCTCGTTCCGGAAGTGATTTAGAATCAATTCAACTGGTTCCTTTGATTCATGAAGCTAAATGTGTTAATAACGTATATACTTTTCAATGTGTTGCTTTGTCACTAAGAGAAAAGCTATAATTCTAAGCCTGTTTCTTTGACTATAATGCCAAAGAAACACAATAGTCTACAAAACGAAGCTATGTAAAGAAGGCCTCGCGAATTTTTGCCTTTCAAATTAGCAAACCGCAAGTCTGCAAATAGCGAAATAAATAACAATTAGTAGCGTCCTAAAATATCTGTCCTGTTTATTAGAGGTTTTTGCTTTTCAGACCCGTTTTGTGCTTGATGTTACAATAGAGTGCTAACAACTTTGGAGTGTCTGGCAAGAGTGCTAATTATACTTATGTCATTACTGTATTTATTGAGATAAGAAAGCTCGTAGTTGCGAGAAAAAGATAAATTTATCATTTCGATTTCACTGCCGTGACTAAAGCCAAGAATTGCGCCATTTGCGAACAGTTGTGCCAGATTACCAGCAAATCCAGGTACGAGCTTAAAACCATCAATGAACCATCAAAAAAATGCATCGGCCAGAAGAATTTTAGCTGAATCAGTCTCTTCTTGACTACACTAAATCTCATTCTAAAATCAGTATATTGAAATGCCCCTCAAAGTTTTAATGAGTTTGCTGTGATCAGCTTATCTACCCGTAAAAAAAAAGAAAAGACTTAGACAGAACATGGCAAAGATTGGAAGTCATTTGAAATCTCACAGATACGGATTTGTGTATAGCATACATTCGTAACCAAATCCTGGTACGTTATTCTAGAAATCTTTTTTCCTTTTCTCTGTGTTGTTTTCAGCACCGAACGAAAAAAAAAGGCTGAAACACTTCGAAAGTCGTTATTAAACATTCTTGTGTCTTCAAAAACGTGTTTAACATCCTTACGTTCAGATCATAACCTATTTTGTCATTTAAACCTCAGTGCCTGTCAAAACAAAGACCAAGTAGTGTCTTCTGGGGGATTAATAAGCTTACTTCGGATTATCTAAAGTGGGGTGTTTTTTTTGTTAAAGAAAAAAAAGTAACGCTATACTCAGCTTTAAAAGTCGATAATTCAAATAAAGTTATAGGTTATGAAATAACTTAGGGGTCTGTGGGAAACCTTGAATGCTCTATAGATCATATAACATGTTTGATTATTGCGATCAATCAGAAATTACCAGATTACATCACACATTTTGTTTACTAAGCAAAGGGAATCTTGTATACTATCCAACGAATACCGCTTTTTTGTTATGTAATGTTAAATCTGTTGTAGTTTGATAAGAGTTCAGGTCTAAACTCAGGAAGTACAAAGACAGCAAAATCAGCAGCATAACTTGGAAAATCTGATTAGTCTCTAGAATTCCCAGCTGAGAGTTACCTGACGAAAAAGTTCCTTTTTCTTAAAAGTTGTCCGCCACTAGTTCTCTTTTCACTAGGGAAGAATTGCATCAGTTTCTAATAATCATCTGGTTGTTTCCGTCATGGCGGTTAAAGTAAAAAGCTAAAATTAAGCTGGCTATCACTGCACATTATCATCACAACAAGCAGATCTCTCACGCTTATAGATAAGCAAAAGCTTTTGGAGAGTAAAGGTGGCTGCTAGTTCTACATCTGCGATATATTTGTTCAGGGTTTCAAGGAATTGGGAAAACTGGTCTGCCAAATATTTGTTTCAAATCATACCAAAGATAGAATTAGTTGCACAGTTGAACACCTTTTTTTAGCCCACGAAACTCTTTTAGTGGCTAGCCAATTGTCCAACGTTAATTGAGGATATTTTAAGGCATTTGATATAATTTGCTGAACTGTGTTTTTTTTATATTGTTCTGATTTTAATTCAATTTTTTTTCCATCCAAGCTGTCAACTATGAACTACATGTATCTGCTCTACGTTCATCTTCTACTCTCATATTTTACGGAGATACACTCGTCAGCCAAACCATATAAAGAGACAAAACCGCAAAAAAAAGAGCTAAAGCCACTCAAAGGACCTCACTCAACTTCAAGGAACGATGAAGACAACACCCAAAACCGGTTCCTAAGAACGTTCCTCCTCAATAGGCAGAAACGTCCACGATCTTCCACAGAAAACTCTTTTCGACGCGTCCGCAAGATAACGAAAAGACCAACAACGACCACAAACTGTAAAATATTCTGCCGCAGTGGTTATCACCTTCAAATTCTCCCCAGCGGGGTAGTGAGGGGTACGGTTGACCAGGACAGCGAGTACGGTAAGAATAAGTTGGTAAATATTACAATCATTAAGTGTTTGAAACCTCAGTGTATTCAAGAAAAATTCATTGCAGTCCATATTTGAACTTGAATGCGGCGTAAAACAAGACTGCTGAGATTACTCTAGAACCTCATAAGAATCACTCAAAGTCGAGTCGTTACAGTTTGGTACAACAATGGCAACAACCAACGAATGATGCCGAGAAATTGTTTGAAGTCGAATCGCGTTATTGCGGACACCATCGGGGGAAGATTTAGCGTCCGTAATAGCGAGAGTCTATAATAGCAGGGTACGAGAGAAAAAAATTTGTTTTGTGTCTAAACTTTTGAAATAATATGTAACTACGCAGCCATTAAGTTTCTAGCGTCGCCTCACAAACCTGAAAAAGATCCAGCCGTAAGCAGGAAATTCTCTTGTCCGCACCCAATTGAAGAATGGTTTCGCTGTCGCTTTATATTGTGCGAGTCAGGATTTTGGACGAAGTACTAAGTGTCCGCTATAGCGCGAGAAAAAACAAGTGAAATGTCGCGCTGGGGGACAAAAGTACCTGCATCAATAATAATAATCTGTTTCAGTCATTTTTTTAAGCGCAATGGCGGCGTGTCTGTACTAGCGAGGTGTCCGCAGGGAGAGAGTCGAATGAAGTAACAAATTTCTAACGAGCAATGCTAAAGGTCGCTTACACTTATTTTCTTTGAGTCCTCGTTGGTTCCCTTGTCTGTAATATAACCTTTGTCCTGACGAAGGTTTGCGGCATTCAATGGAAATGCGCTGTTTTACGACCTAGGGGCGGTCTCCAAGCGAAAACCTCCTTCGCAAAGGTTTTTGGTTTGGGCGTTTATCAAGATTGCGTGTGAAGCCGCCCCAAGAACATTTAGGCGGGAAACTTACGGCCAATGAAGAACCTGATCATTACCACTATGTGTTTTTCTGCTCCCAGTGTTGTTTGAGATGCAGTCATTCGGGCCCAGTCTCGTTAGGCTGATGAGTCCAGCGACGGGCAGGTATCTAACTATGAAAAGAGATGGAACACTTCGTGGGTTGGTAAGTGAATTAATTCTTAGCCTCAAATCAGGAACTGATGTCACAAGAGTAACCTTTAACAAGGCGTAAGTGTAGAAAAAGTCAAGAACTGATGTCACAAGAGTAACTTTTAGCATGGAAAGGATACTGTTATATTCAAATCAGGAAGTAGAAATGACTTCTGGCAAGAAAAACTTCGCGAAGCTTTTTAAAAGTAAGGGTTGGATTCAATAAGTTTGTTCAAACGTGAATCAGCGTGGTTTATCTTACTGCTTTTGGATATCCTGCTTTTTTAACGTTTTTCAATCACGTGGTTATGATTCAAATTTTGTTTAGCTATTAAAATTATACATGCGGGACTAACAATCTATTGTAGTGAGAGTTTGACTGTTGTTTGAAAAAGAGAGAGGTTACCATACATTACTGACTGACTTGTGTAGGAAACCCAACTTTTCTCGGTTTCTATAGGATGAAGCCGGACTCTGGGTTATTGCTACTCCCATACTCGCATACTGGTCCATTGCAGATTACCCCGTGTACCTCTAACTTCCACCTTTTGCTCTCTTTCAGAGAAGCCAAACCACCCGAGACTCGCTCTTCAAAGAGACTCACGAAGAGAACGCGTTTCACTCTTATGCGTCTTACAGATATTACAGAAAACAGCCACACGACATGTTGGTTGGAATCAAGAGGAACGGGCAAATAAAGCGCGCCACGAAGACTTTCCATGGACAAACTGCTACACAATTTCTTGTCATCAAATTTTGATCAAGGCTTAAGTTTTAATTGTTCTCATCCTCGAAGACCCAGGGGCTGTCAGTCGATTTCTAGTCAGGGCGTAACAGCTATGACTAGATGTCGACTCACTGCCCTTCAGTCTCCAAGGATGAATTATTCTTAGCTGTATAAACAGATCTTCCTTCAAAATTGCTGCCTAAATTTAAAGCTTTATATACGAAACTACTCTGGAAATTGTGACAAGGTGCATTCGGCGTCGAGTTGTTTCACCAATCCGCAAATGGAAGCAAAAGTGGGGAAAAGAAAAACCTGAGACTTAATTACGAGTATCAAACAACTTAATTTGACATTCATTCTATTCTTAATCAGCAGAAAAGACATCGTGGCCCTGAAATTACGTTGCCGAGCCGCCATTTTGGTCGTCTCTTAGCTGTTTCACCATTTGCGTAACCATTTGACCGCGTTTTATTTCAGACAAGGTAGCGAATGACGAACTGCTAACGTTCGAAAGGCAGCTTTGAAACTCTTAACGGTAGCCAATTTACGTTCTCAACTCAGTTGATAAAACCAAATTACCTTGTTATACTCTCTCACCGACGCAGCACCACAGTTTTTTTAGATAGCGACCCCTTTATTCATTTGTTATTTCAGACAGTCGATTTTTCAATAACGAGAGTTACACTGAGTCTATATCAGTTATAGGTACGCACAATCTGGACCAGGACGCTCTTTAGGGAATGTTTTTCATTTAATGTTTCACTTCGGTGGCTATTTTGAAGGAGTGTCTAGACAAAGCCGACGATCTGATTCAAGTTGTTAGGAAATATATTTAGCTAGGAAATAAACGCGTCCAACTCACGGACATGCAATTATGTTCTTTAGTAAAAAATAGTGTGATTAGCAGAAAGATCGCTCGCTTGTCTCATAGATTGAAATCATGCGATTATAAAAATTTTTACTTTATGACAAATTTAAGTTTATCAAAACCTCAGTCAGATGCAGGTACGCACAGGTAGATGCAGGTACGCACAGGTAGATGCAGGTACGCACAGTCATATGCAGGTACGCACAATCTGGACCAGGACGCTCTTTAGGGAACGTTTTTCATTTAATGTTTCACTTCAGTGGCTATTTTGAAGGAGTGTCTAGACAAAGCCGACGATCTGATTCAAGTTGTTAGGAAATATATTTAGCTAGGCAATAAACGCGTCCAACTCACGGACATGCAATTATGTTCTTTAGTAAAAAATAGTGTGATTAGCAGAAAGATCGCTCGCTTGTCTCATAGATTGAAATCATGCGATTATAAAATTTTTTACTTCATAACAAATTTAAGTTTATCAAAACCTCATTCAGATGCAAGTACGCACAGTCAGATGCAGGTACGCACAATCTGGACCAGGACGCTCTTTAGGGAATGTTTTTCATTTAATGTTTCACTTCAGTGGCTATTTTGAAGGAGTGTCTAGACAAAGCCGACGATCTGATTCAAGTTGTTAGGAAATATATTTAGCTAGGCAATAAACGCGTCCAACTCACGGACATGCAATTATGTTCTTTAGTAAAAAATAGTGTGATTAGCAGAAAGATCGCTCGCTTGTCTCATAGATTGAAATCATGCGATTATAAAAATTTTTACTTTATGACAAATTTAATTTTATCAAAGTCTCAGTCAGATGCCGAGTCATCTCCGAGAGGCGAGAATTTAATCTCTAGTTCTTTTAACTACCTCCATTGTGCCAAAGTCTCTCACAACAAGATCAACGTGTTTTTTTCCCTTTTCTAATTACGAAATAAGTAAGCAGACACATCGCCTCTAAATTGCAGCCATCACAACAGCTTTAAAGATTTATCGTATTCAATATTTATTTATTTATCCATCTATTTAAGAAAATTAAGGATATTGAATATCAACGTGCAGTTTTTCTAAAAAGCAATTCGAATTATTGTATTGCAAAACGAGGATAGGTTAGGAGCTTCTTAACTAATCAGACATCTTGCCAAGAGTGAAATAAAGTCACTATTTCAATTCCAGTTGTTGTCAGGTGTTGCGTTTGTACCCAGTTTCCTCCTGTTTAGTTGATTTGCTTAACCGTGGAAGGTCTGGATTTAAGCCTGATGTCTTGTCAATCTCGTACCCAGACCTTAGTACAGAAGAGGTGCAGTTCACTAGGTATTGCGAACAAATGTTAAAGAATCAAACTAACATCAGCAATAACATCATCAACAACAACAACAAAAAGACATACCGGAACTAAGCAAACAAAAGTCAAACAAATTGTAAGCGAATAGAATAGAGGTACTTTAACCGCAGTGATTGCTAAAGCGCCTAGCTAAGAACGGGGAAAACAACAAAATCCGAAGGATACTGGCTTCAGAATGAGGGTGGCTCTGGAAAGTAAAGCTATCTTGTCTGACTTGTCGTTAACTGACGTTTTGTTAACCTAAGCGAAGGTCCTTATTAGAGTCATGTGCGTCGCTAAAACTTGTAACAGCTCTCGTCGGGACTCCCTTCGTCTAAAAGATCACACTGCGCGAACTACTGTTACTTTTCGAGTTCAACATAAACTGTGTAACACAGAAGTGCTGATCTAAACAAACGCCTTGTACACGGGTGAATACACAGAAAGACACACGAAGCTGTGAAAAACTGTCATTTTAATATCTCCTTTCAACATATATTCTACCTAACGTAACACTTTTCTTACATACTTATCTTACGAGGCCCTTTTTACACGTAATTTTTTTTTTCATATCAAACAATACCTGGCCTCCTTTTACGTTATCTCTACAGGGATAGCAAAAATGTAAAATTTAGCTTCCTTGCTTTATTTGTCAAATCTACAAAAAGCTCTTTTTCCAGAAATACTTAATATATTGTGGACGGACTCAACTTTACATATCATACAATGGTTATACAGCTGGTTAATAATCAGTGATAGATGTCTGTATCGCACTCCTGTACTACCAATAATACTGTTGCCGCAAGACGAAAGTTGTCCTTATTATATGATGTACGAAACACGATTTTCAACGAAACAAAAACAAAAAAAAACATGGAAAACGGATAATTAAGTGAAAATTTGATTATTCCGCTTTCTTTCGAGTGAAGAATGCTTAAGTAGGGAACAAATATTAATGTCACAAGAGGGAGAGAGAGAAAAAAAATGAAACCATAATTTCAACATTGAGCGAATTATCGCCACGACGAGACAACTTTCGAGTCATTTTACAACACAGAAGTCAAACTTACACTGGCTTGGCCACAATTACATATACAAAACGACAACCGAAACTTCTCATACGTTCTTGGAGAACAAGAATTGTTTCTTATTGCTTCACCATAACGAAAAAAAAAAAAAGAGGAATTGAGGCCAACACCGCCAGGGACGGAGGGCGCACGCGCCGCATTTCATCTGGATAAATAGAAGAGAATCTCCGCCAAATGGTTGGTAATTGTACTGTCCAGAACCCGCAAAACAGAAAGCCTTAAGATCCGCTGTTGAAACGGTAAGAACAAGGCACGGTTGGAACGTATGCGTGCCAAGCACACTAGCGTCGAGGCAGCCCGACGTAACATGTCCACACTCGTACCGCAAAAGCTCTCCGAATGAAAGCCGGCCTGCGCCAGGGCACTACCTGATGAATATGCGCTCATGCTGGACGCTGCATCCTCGATAAATTCCAACAACATTGAAATACACGCCTTGCTGTCGCCGAAACCAACGAAGGAATTCTCTCCTTGTGCCAGGTTTGACAGCAAGACAAGAGCAAGTTCACGAGTCACCGGATTGTCTCTCTCGCCAACAAGTCGAACCAACATGGTGTACAATTCGTCCACCCGCGTCAACGGCGGAGTGGAAAGAATGATGTCAACATTAGACTCCAAGATGCTCATCTTCGCCAAGGCCTCAAGAACCAGCTGCCTCGGGGACAGGGAAGTACCTGGAGTAGCTGTGGGCATGGGATCCTGAGCGGCAGCCGACGGACAGATGAACCAGTGGAGAAGCCCGTCCAACAGAGGAAGACTAATGGCCTCAGGATACAGAGACAAGTCCAACTGACCGGCTACATTGGCTGTTATCACCAAAGCGTTCTCACGCAGACCTTCCAAGCAGTACCACCACCAGTCGTGACGATCGTCGCTGGGACACTCCACCTCGATCTCATCCTGCAGATAGGAATGCCTGTAGGGAACACGTTTGGAGTGTTTATGATGAAGAAGTAAAAGCCGCCCAACGATGAGTAACAATCCTGCGTGACGCGACATCTCAGCGTCGTTTCCCGGAACAAAGGAAAGTCCACGTAGAATGTTAGACACACAAAGGCAGCGCCGGGACACGGCGTCCTGGCTCTCAGTTCTTAGGCACAAAGGTGCATCTTCCTTGCCGCACGACTGCTCTTCAACAACTGCATCCTGTTTCACGTTTATTTTACTAACAACTGATCGAATATAAGCGTCCGATTCCGTATCCTCTTCATCAGAATCCAGGTCTAAGTCCAGTTCCTTTTTTAACCGCGCGGTAAACTGTTCTACTTCACTCTCTCTGTTGAACTTATCATTTTCCTGAGTTTTTAATTCCTCCTGTGATGGTTCTTTCTCTTTTTTAACAACAATGTCAGCTTTTGATTTGCCCTCCTCTACCACAGGAGAGGGCAGTTCGGTTTTCAGTTTACTAAAATTCCCATCACATTTCATTTCGTTTGCACAACAATTGTCATCTTTACACTCGGCTAATGATTCCTCATCGTCACTTTCAGTTTGATTTGTATTCTCGTTCTCAGCTTTTACCTCTCCTTCGCAATTCTCATCAGTTTCGGAAAGAATTACATCTTCACTGCACTCAGTTTCTTCTCTGCAATGAATTACCTTTGTCGAGTATTCTGGTCTCGTCTTGAAGCCAAGGTGTGTTTGAATATGACGCGTGGTGTCTCCACCTCCCATGAGCCAGTCGCCGGATCCGCTTTGAAATCCATCGTTTGGAATATCAAATGTGGATGCTACCAACAGAGCGGTAAAACTATTTTTT